TTTTAATTGAACTTGAACTCACATTTGATTTGAAAATCAAATAAAGTGACAAAGAATTTGAACCTCACTTTAACTTAAATAAATCATAAAATGAAATGATTTGAACACAAGGCAAAGGTGTTGAAGATTCATTTTGACTCAAACTGATTGAGAACCTCAGTGGATATGATGGACATTTAATTCAAATTCAAATGATCAAAAACTCAAATGAAGCAAGTCTTTTGGAATGAACAAGGCATATCTTGGGTTTTGACTCGAATGTGCCTAGAACTTTGAAGGTGAACCTAAGCATAATTCTTAAGTTTTGAGGATCAACTTTGAACAGTTGTTTTGAACATGAATGAAGAAAATGAGCAAGGAAGGACTGTCCAATAAATGTTAAAGAATTTTAAGAAATGGTCATTCATCCCTATCAAACAAAATATAAATTGCTTGCACTCTGCATGGAACTCTTTGGACAACCATCATGCAAAATTGATCGTGGAAGTGGATAGTGGAGTGCATCTTCAAATTACGAAATAGTAAATCATTATACACGTCACCTAAAGTGAAGTGTATATAGAGGCATATTATTCATTTCAATCATGAATGCATACTCACAAAGATATGAAGAATGGTGAAGCGGCTCATTAGATTGGATATCAGTGGTCATCTATAAAGCACGCAATAGCTGAACATATAACATGGTAGAGTTGCTAATAATTTTCATGAATTTGTGGCTAAATGGCCACGAAGGGATCTGCTCCATATATGACTGACCTCCAATGCACGTGGATCTTGTGTGAGGTGCATCCCTGAGAAATGTAGAAGGAACTTTCTAACTGCCACAAAATATATCTTAATAGGTGGCAGTCCACACATGCATGAATGTTATATATACTCCAATCAGTAATATCCAGTACTAAGTAATTTATACTAGCTCCCTACAAGCAAGAGTAATATGGTCCTTACACAGGATTCACATACACGACTACATGTCAATAGCGAGAAAATGCCAAAAGACCACAACAAGTGTAGCTTCTATAATGAAGGAGGACGATTAGTTAGTGCAGCTAGATCCCGTCTGAATAAAAATCCACAAATAGTGTACTGCATCAGTCTACGCGTAACGAGCAGCGAACAACTCCATTCAGAACGCTGCACGCCACCGGATCTGCAATCTCCGACAGAGCAGATCAGAAAGGCGTCCACATCACTTTTCAAAATACCTCCTGCGTGACCTATAATTGTATACACATAGGTACAACTAAAAGGGGTAAACCAATATAGAAACCCGCATGGGCCCGGCGAGCGTGTTCATGGTACACTACGTGAGTCTAGGGATGCCTGCGCGGGCTTGACCATATTTGATTCTAGTATCGGAACCCGTATCCTGCCCATATACGGGTCAGTAGGGATCGACAGGTCGACCTCTCAACAAATATACGATATGCTACGATATCGATAACTTTGTCATGAATATATTCTATATTAGGTCCTTTTAAGTCCTACAATAATGGAATTCACATCAAAAGGGTACAAAGCCTAGAAACCCGATCCCTGTCGACAGCCTCATCGACAGAGGTTGGACAGGTTTCAATCTCCGTAAAGTGAAATGACCCCAAACACGCTCGATGATGGCCAGTGTTGAATTGCGATACGTCAACCGGGGGGTTTTTAAATATTTCCAAATATCTCCAAAATATCCCAATAAATCCTTATTTCAAAATATTTCCATAACTTCCACCCAAGTACCCCTAAAAATCCTAAAAATTCAAGAAAACTCCACAAAAAATCTCAAAATCTCAAAATTCCAAGAATAACTTAAAATGAATATAAATCATCAAAACACTTAAGCACAATAATTCCATCCGCAGACAGTGTCGAGGGGCGGACAATTCATAAACTCTAAGCTCACAAAGGAGCCAAATGGCCTAGTGAAATTATACAGGTTCCATTCTCAACACTCTTGCAGTAAGGACAGTGTACTGATCCTCTAACCGGCAGTTTTCGCCGCCAAAGCACTGCAAGGTAAACGTTATGACCAGGGCCCCTCTGAACCGAGTGGTTTTGCCGCAAATGGGCACCAACAGATAGCGGTTATGCGGCCAGAGCAATACGCTCCTTAAATGCGTTAAGATCCTTGAGATATGAATCAATTTAGGATATGATCGATAGGGCCCAAAGCCTCTGTTAGCTAAAGGTGGTATATTCAAATTGTCCCCTTAGGCAAATACCAACCCCGGTCTACAAGGTTCCCTTGGACGAAGCAAACCATGGCTGCCGCAAAGATCCTTCTGTCCGATTGGTCGCACTTACTCCTGACGTTAGTAGACAGGGACACGATGGCCGGAACGACGGTAACCTGGATTTGATCGGGGTCTATCATCCATTCCCCCACCATCTGCTTTAAGTGTTAGATGGGTAAAAATTTATTTAAAATATCAAATCTTCCAATATCCAAACTCCTAAATTTCACAAAACTCAATGCCAAAATTCAAACAATATCATCTTTCCAATTCCAAATCATCTTGCTGCTCTATATTGCCAGATAAACAAGTATTTATAAACGTATCTGATTGACTAGACTACTTAATCGAAAGTTCTCGTCTCGTGATCGGCAGGGGTAAGTTAACTATACGGGGGCTTGCGCCTATAGGAAACCAGAAGCTCGATCATAAAGTCCTCGCAATGAGGGCGAAATCTGTGGGTAGTGTCTTATCTACAAACCCATCTGCCCTTCAAATTTACGGTCGGAACTATTCAGTTAAAACTCCTCGCCAAAAAAAAAAAAGCGCGGCGGAGGCCGGGTGCCAGAATTTTCGGAGCCACAGGCACTGCATGCTTTATGGTCCGAATTCCATTAAAAAGAAGCATAATAGCTAAGTTAAGTGTGCAGATGAGGACCTCAGGTGGATGAGTGCTTTACCCTTAGAGATAGGATACGAAAGAGCATACTAACGTGAAAAGGTTGGAGTAGCTCCAGATAGAAGATAGATTGAGAGAGTCCCTAGACTGGTTTGGTCACATAAAACGGACGGCTCCGATGATCCCGGTTAGGAAGAGATAGAGGTATATAGATTGATCTTGATGTTAAGAAAGGTAGGTAGGGGTAGACCTAAAAAGACTTGCTTAGAAAATTTTAGGAATGACCTTTCTTTATTAGATTTAAACGAGATTTTGACTTTTAATAGGACACAATGGAGAAAAAGTATTCATATAGCCGACCCCACGTAGTGGGTTAAAGGCTTGATGTTGTTGTTGTTGTTGTTGTTATTATTATATGTTTTTAATACTTCACACTAATTTTTGAGAAACTCATTTTTGTAGAACTTTATCAACATATGCTTCTGAAAGTTTTAGCTCACCGTTTTGAGTCCAGGTTGTTGTCGTTAGATGTATCAGATTTTGAACTTGAGGCAAGTAAATGCTGCTATCTTTATTCTTGCATATTTATGACATGCTGATTTACTTTATTGTTAATTTAGATCAAAAGCAAATATGGATTAGCAATCAAAGATTTTATAAGTCCTCAATAACTTATTTATATTATTATTGCTAAACTGAGTATGCAATGTTTTAGTTGCATCAATTGGATAAAATTAATTCCTTTTATATGCTTTATGGTTTTTTATATATGATGACAATATTCTTGTTAGACATCTATATACATGAATTTTAATTCTTATGCATAATCTTAATGATAAAGTTTTTTGTAAATATGATTAATTTATAATATTTTTTTTATTTATTCGTATGCACTTAGTGTATGTGCATTTATACTAACTCATTATTCGTACGTCTTTCTTTATCCAAGTAGCATAGCAGCATTATCCTTTACCAAAGATTATCGCTTGTTAGCCATTGCATCCAATTAACTTTTTAAGAGGAAGATATATTCTAAGCTAAAAAACAATGCTTATAATTTCTAATTTAACATCTCATAATTTGCACCATGCTAATTAACACTGCTCTATTTTTAAGATGTAGTCATGAACAAGATGCTATCTATCTTTGGAATATTAATGAAGTTGAAGTCAAGCCAAAGTTAAACAATTCCTGATGATGTGCTCCCCTATAATTGAAAACTCATAAATTTTCTTCCTTGCACATTTTGCTTCTAAGCATCAAATTTTCTCTTAGATGTAGTTTTTATGAGCTCTCCCGGCCCTCTTTATCTTCCATGAAGCAATAGACATCAATACCTATATAATATTTATATTAATAAAATAAAATATTAATTGTTAGTCTCGCCAATATGTCGATGCGAATATAAAGCTAACTTGATTTGCACTTTCTGTATTTATGGTTTTGAATATGTAGAAAATTTTTCTTATAACTTTTCCTCCTATTGGTATTTGTTTTTATGTAATAGAGGTTGTAACATATAGCTGTTTTATTATATTTCTTCTACGTCAACGACATGAACGTCGACAATTCACACAAGAAGAATATGTTCCATGTCTTTAACCCTAAGAAGCCCCTTTTCTTCTACGTCAATCTCGCTAAGGTATAGCATCGACGACAACTTTATTTGATCTTGCCATTATTATAGAATTATGTATTGTTAGATAGGTTTTTTTTATTCCTTGTTTCTTTGAAGTCAACTCATTATTTTTATTGAGAGTGCGGAGTTGTTATTGTATTCTTTGGCATCATATTTTTTGTGTTTTGGCAAAAGAGGGTATTGGGTAGATATTTTTTGTTAAATCTATATGTTTTAGCAATCGTTTGGGTTGCAACGCATGCCTCTTTAAATTATATTTGTTTTTATTAATTGTGATTATACAATTGATTTTATATTTTATTTAATTTGATTGTTTTCTTATTTAAAGGTATATGCATCACAATGAAATTGAGTTTTCTGCTTTGGAATGAGTGATTGTTTCCTCAGCTTTGTGAAAGTGAGAAATGCATCTGTTTTATGGGGCCACTGTTTACTTAATTTTTTTTTCTCATTTTTCTTAATGTTGTTGAAGTTAGTTTGTAAGGAATTCTGGAATTCTTCAACTTATTGTAATTTACTTTCTTACAATAGAATGATCATATCTATAGTTATATCAATTGAGTCAGTAGTTCTCTTTTTGATGGTTTTAATTTATTGTAATTTACTTTCATTGTTTGTATGCATTTTTTTCTTACATGTAAGTCTTTGATAATTGATTTGGTATTGAATTTTAAAAAAATATTAATATATTTTCTCTATTATGATTTTAACGTAAATATCTAATTTTTCATTAATGTAATTAATAATTATAATTATTTATACTAATAAATTTAATAATTTTTTTACAATAATATAATTAATATGATTTTTTATTATTAAAATTTTATTTACGTGCATTTAATGCACGTGCAACAAAACTAGTTTATATTAAAGTCACTAAGGATATGTATACATAAAATTGTTACATGTGTTCAAACACAAGGTGGTTTGATCGAGTATTTTTCTATTTCAATCGGATTACATCAAGGATTAGCTTTTAAGCCCGAATCTTTTTGCTTTAGTCATAGATGTTCTTACAAAAACATTTGCAAGAGGATGTACTAGTGTATGTTTTTTAGTGATGATATTCTTCTTGTTGATAAGACTAGAGAGTGAGTTAATGAAAAACTTGAATTATGGAAGTCAATCTTAGAGTATATCTAAAAATGAATACATTGAGAGTAATTTTAGTAATAATGGATCTAGTGGTAAGATTGTGACATTAGGTGATCAACTCATTAAAAAAGGCATGTTTTAAATATCTCGGGTCCAAAGCGATGGTAAAAATAGATGAAGATAACATTAGTAGAATTCAAATTGGATGGTTGAAGTAGAGGAATGCATCAGGTCTATTGTGTGATAGAAAAGTACATCTCAAACTTAAGGGAAATTTATATAAGTTGGTGAGACCTTTGACGCTTTCTAGGGCAAAATGTTGGCCCTTAAAAGAGAAGCATAAAATTCAGTTAAGTGTTGCAAAGATGAGGATGCTCAAAGTGGCTTTACACTTAGAGATAGAATGTGAAAGAGTATATACGTGAAAAGATTGGAGTAACATCAATGGAAAATAAGATTAAAGAGAGTCGCTTTAGATAGCTAGGCCATATAAAATGCTAGCCTTATGATGACCCTATTAGGAAATAAATGTATTACATCCTGCCTATGTTAAGAAAGATAAAAGTATATCTTAAATATTTGGTTAAAAAGTATTAGAGATGATCTTTTTTTATTAAATTTAAATAAGAATTTGACTCTTAAATAGAATACAATGGAGAAAAATAATTATGAACCCAATCCCGTGTAGTGGGATAAAGGCTTGTTGTTGTTGTAGTAGTATCTATTACTACTAAAAACCATATAAAAAATGGGGCCAACAACCAGGGGTTATAAAAATGTAAACAAAAGGCTTAAGCAAGATTCATTCTTTCTGCATAAGGCTATAAATAACAATATCAAAAGGATGCGCGAACACTACCATAGCATTCAGTACGCCAACCGATGTCAAGCCTACTTGAATAACATATCAAACCAAAAGCTCGCAACAACTAGTTGGCACATTACATACTAATAAAACCAACTCTTGGGCAATGAACAAGCAGTAGTGGCATGTAAATGCAATACTCACGAGAAGCCTTTTCTCTGAAAGCAGCTTTTTAGACCAACAGCATCCAATGTTTCTTGGGGAAGTTTCCCCACGGGATCAGGGTTCCTACAGGTTAAACTATTTACTAATGAGAAATACTGCATGATGATCAAAAACAAATTATTCTTAAAGCCGCATATATACTGATAACATATTAGTAAGATTTTTTATTATGATAATGCAAAACCTAATTGCTAGCTTATGGGAACTTTTTTCAATAGTTAGAAACTTCAGAGCAAGGTAATTTCTAAGCAACTTCATGACCCAGATTACCTTTCTTATCTCAACACAATATACATTACAACTAGGGAATAAGATAAACGTGAACTTGCATAGTTGCACCTCACATCTAGCCGGCCTACTTTAACAGGAATTGCTGGACCTCCACATAGAAAGACTGCTTCAGCACCAGCCACCGCAATGAAGTCCGCCCAAGATGCTAAGAAAAAATTCCCAAAAGATGGGAACAGGGTTTCATTTAAGCAAATCCCTCACCCAAAAAAGATAATTTACCTTGGCAAATTTCGTCAACTTCCCTCTTTGCTTTCTCCAAGATCTGAAATGAGATGGAAAAAGAAAGAAATAGGTAAGAAAATACATAATTATGCCTCAAGAAAAAGATTGGTAAGGAGCAAAATTCTTGATGCCCGTCGATTTAAGCAGCATATACATTTTCCAATTTGTATGTATATGATTTTAGTTCCTAATACCAAAACTTGAGTTTTTTATCACTCCGAAAGTATTTATATAAGAGAAAACACAGGCTTTAGGAAGCTCGAAGCAACAACCTTTAAACTTTTACTAAGACCAACATTTTCAGGTCTATCAAGTTCATAAAGTATAGATCCATTCATGCCACCTGCAACAAAACATTCAGAAAAATAATAGAACAGCTAAAGTACAGCTTTCTTAACTGCCAACATGCAAGAAGAGAATGATATAAAACCAGTGATCCATATTACCCCATCAAGTATAGCATTTCATTTTATCAAAATGGGAAACAACATTATAGACCAGAAATCAGAAAATTTAAGTATGATGGATTATAAATCCACAAATATGCACCAAAATTGCACCTAGACGTATGGGAAGCCTTTTCTCAAAAAAATTAATAATAATAATAATATGAAAACCTGAGTGATCCTCTGTATCATATGTTCCAGCATCATGGAAAGCCATGCGAAGCACACCAGCAGCTTTAGCCTTGGACAAGACAGCCCTCAAGCTGTTTTGAATAGTCGACAACTTGGCTGCATGTAACCTTTGCAATCGTAAAAGAGAAAATATTTATTTTAAATCCATGGCAGCAACAACAAACTTAGAAAACAGCACATCATAAAGAAATTAACAATGTAGAAATAAAACAAAGTTTAATAAAAAGTTTAATTCACATAAAATTTCGTAAAAATCAGAAAAAAAAAAACTGTCACTCCATTCTCCTTTAGAAATTGTGCAGAAAGTTTTTCAAGAAAGTTTGAAAATCAAACAAATTTGGGGAAAAAAGAATTAAGTAATAGTTTAGTGATTCGAACACCCAACCAACCGTGTTGTATTATAAAGCAAAATCCTTAATCTAAATGCAGAAACCATAAGATCATGTTTGGGTAGTACGGCTTCTGCATTTAAAATACTATTTGCCCTTTGCTTGGTAGTTTCTTTAATAGCTTGATTAAAAACTGGTCTTACTGCTTCACTTGGAAGTAGCCTAAATTGCAAGTCTAACGGCTTCCCTTGGAAGTAGCCTATAATTTGGCTTTTAAAATTTGTTCGCTTAAAAGTTTCCCTAGAATGTTGATCAAATGTGGGTCTTACTTTTTTTTTCTGTTAATCAAAGGATCTTCGTCATCCGGTCTTACTGCTTCACTTAGAAGTAGCCCGTTAGGTTTGACTAGCAGTTACTTATTTTTGCACTCTTTGCTGCATTGACATCAGTGTTTTTTTCTACTTTAGTGATTTTTTACATACAGTACTAACGCTTTTTTTTCAGTACTAGTTTTTTTTTTTTTTTATTGTGCTTACAGTAGTAGCTTTACTTATAGTACTTCTCCCCTTTTCTTAGCACTGTAGTTTTACTTTCCATACTGTTTTTTTTTTTTTTACTCATGCCTACCTGCTTGCAGGCATTTGGAACTAGCAGTTGCAGAATGCAGGAGCTTGCTTGGAGTTGAGTTTGGAGAGTTGGGTTGTTTGATAGCTTTGTTCAAGGTTGTAGTTTGTTTGTTTAGAGTTTTGTTGTTTTGGTGTTTTAGTTTTAGTTGGTATGAGTTGTACTTAGGTTTGTTTAGTGCAAAGTGCAAACATTATTCTTCTATAATTAATTAATTGATATTTTTAAATTAGTTAAATAATTAATTAAAAAAATTATTATTGAGAGCCCTGGTTACATTTGAATGAACTAATTAATATTTTTATTAATTGGTTAATTAATATTTTAAATGAGTAATTAATAAAAATTTTTATTAAAAAGCTCTCTTGCTCAATCAATCAATTAAATTACTACTACTACTACTACTACTACTATTATTATTATTATTATTATTATTATTATGCTCTTATTCCTAATTGTTTCAAATAGAAGAGATTAATTGGCGTGAGAGTCTATTCGGCTAATTAGATGGATTGGGATTGTTATCATTTGGACATAGAGGAAGGCGGATCGGGCTGCCTTTGCCGTTTAGATATAAAGAGAGGTGGAGGTTTTGTTCATGTGTGGAGCAGGCTAGCTTCCGCGTCGGTTCAGAAGCGTGCTCGAATCTGACGTCGACGATGGGAGCAAGCGTACACGCATGGTTGCAAGTATGGCGTAGGACACAGAGGTGGGAGTAGTGGTGATGTAGAATGGAAGGGGTCAACCAAAAGAGGGGAAAAAGGGAATGCGTCCACATACGGTGAACGTGTCCACATACAATGAATGTGGACTTAAGGAATTTCCAAACTTGAATTATTAAGAAAATGAGAAGGGAATTATGATAAGTCTTTAATTAAATTCAAATTGGGAGAATTAAGGAAAGCCTCTTAATATAATTCATCTTATTTTAAGAAAGAATTTCAAATTCAAATTAATTTCAATTCGAATTTGAAAACTTTCCAAACTTAAGATGCAACGAATAAGGAAGGCTTTGAATAATCAATTTGAAAAGTGGAGGGAAAGAGAAAATAGGATGGGGGTAGGGTCGGCGACTAGCATGATTATGGGTGATTGATATGAGGGGTTAAAGATGGCTATATTTAGAATCTTAAAATAGGAAAGTGGATTTAAATCAACTCCTATTTAAAATTCAAAATTGCATAATTTGAGGGACTTCCCTAAAATAGTTTTCCTCATTTATGAAATAAAATTCAAATTCTTCAATTGAATATGAATTTAAATAGTTTCCAAAATTAAAGGGAGTTAACTTAAGAAATGATTTGAATGCTAGATTTTGAATCTTGGAGCCAAGGGAGGGATGATGGCCGGGAGCTTTGGGAAGGGGATTGGGCCGGCGATTGGGGGTCTTTTGGCCTAGGGTTTGGGTGGAGTTTTCGGCCAATAGGAGAAAGAGAGATGAGGAGGTGGCGGTTAGGAAAATAAGGAGAATAGAAGAAGAAGAAGATAAAATCATGAGCCCGGACACTTCCTGCGGCTGACGGGTGATGCGTTGTCCTTCATTAAGGGACTTCAAGTCACGAGCCCGGACCCATCCTGCGGCTGGTGGAAACTACGAATCCCTCCCATAGGAATCTCACCTAATACCTTCCAAGAAACACAATTGCAAAACAAAAATTTTATTAAAACTCCATCATGCCTAATACAAGAGCAAGGGCCTCTATATATAAGCCTTAAAATAAAAGAAACTAAAAAAACAACTTTGCCCCTTGAGTTTACACAAGATAAGACTCTTACATAAGGGTAAAAGTGGAAAATGCACAATTAAAATAAAAAAAATACAATTAATAAACTAAGATAAAAATGGAGTGATCTAGGCCGTCAATCTTCATCTCTTCCTTTGATTAACGTCCACCGTCGGATGTCCGTATCAAGTGTTTGACGGGTTTGTTTGGATCGAAGGCTTTGGATGCAGGGTCATTTGTGAGCGGAGCAAATAGAACGAACGGAGCGAGCCATTTGCAGACATGTTCGCGTGTACTGGAGATGATAGGAATGAGGTTCACCAGGCTTCGTTCACAAGTCAGATGAGCGGGCTTCAGACCCGGTTAGGAGAGTAAAGATATTAGATTTGACTTATGTTAAGAAAAGTACAGGCAGACCTAAAAAGACTTGGTTAGAAAATATTAGGAATGACCTTTCTTTATTAGCTTTAAACGAGAATTTGACCTTTAATAGGACACAGTGGAGAAAGAGGATTCATGTAGCCGACCCCGCATAGTGGGATAAAGGCTTAATGTTGTTCTTGTTGTTGTTGATATGAAAATTCAAAATTTTGAAATTTAAATTTTGGATTTATGGATATTGAGTGAATATTAAATTTATTTGCATAAAAAAGTAAATAAGCATTTTGCACTTTTTATTGGCCGGCCAAGTCATTCGGAGGGGTTAGTTACATGGTGGTTACAACCTCCCTCTTTAAATTTAAGCATATGGTCGGCTCCCTCTTCCCTTTCCCTCTATTTGAGCATTTTGAAGTAGTTGGATGTAAAGACTATAAATATTGGCTGGAATGAAATGAAAATGGATGATGCGTGAAGAAATTTTGGAGCTATTTTAGAGTGAGTGAGTCTTGTTGCTCAGCTACTCCTCTGAAGAAGTTCAATGATCTCTTCAAATATAGTCATTTTGGTGAGTGGTAGACTTGCATATTTGTTTAAATCTTTGTTATTTCTTATTGTAGAAATCTTCTACCATCTCTCCTCCACTCAACATACCAATTTCATATCATTTATCTCACAAATTTTCATCCAAACCCGCATTGGAGGTTGGAGGTTGTCCGCCATGGGCTACTCTAACAAGGTCTAGTCTTGTTCATTTGGCTATTTGGACACATTAAACCCATTGAAAAATTGTGTCAAACATCAAAATTCATCTAACAATTTAGAATATTATTATTCACATCACCGATGGATTTTCATTATTTTTCTCATGCGAGCAACTAGACAATATGGGTGTCCTTTCCTAACAATTTGGACATTTTGGACATGATGGTGCAATTTGTTTTGTGAAAATAGATCATTAGGCCAATTTCACACAACGTTGACTTGTAGGTCATAGTTTTTTGACCACCTTCACTTGAATTGATCACAAGAGGACCCCCTTGGGTAATTTTGAGGTTCAAATGGAGGTCATTCAGGCAATTTTGCATAGCATCACGCTCAAAGCTCACTATCTTTGTCGTCTGAATGACCCGAGCATGAAAGGCATATCTTTGATAATTTTGACGTTTTGAATGCGTTAGTGCAATCTATTTTGAAAATAGATGGCATTTCAATGATTTACGTAGCATCCGGGCATGTCAAACCTGCTTTGCCTTGTGTCGTAAGTCGAATGTCATTCTTGTCAGATGCGCTTGAATTAGTCGTGAAGTATAAATTAGGGGTCAACATGATTTTTGATCTGGCATTTTCATCCTAGTCTCCCCCTTTCTCCTAGTTTAAGAATTTCTATAAGTTTTCTTCCACATTGCATCCTACATTCCTTCTATTTGAGGCATTCATTCATTTCTTCTCACTCCCTATCTTCTCTTGATCTTCAGCCATACCACACTCTTCCGCCACAATCTTCATTTTGGAGTATCAAAATATAAATTTGGTATCAAAGCATATAATTATTTCTTAACTCCTCATAACAAGCAACATTTCTACAAACTCTATGCAAAAAAACCACAATTATTTTTCTCAAAACAAGTTAGTGAGTGCTTCCATTTATCACTTCCTCATCAGCACACATGCAACTCCGCTTAATCAGGCGCTCAAACACATCCATGTGCAATCCACAGCAACAACCTGCACACGGCCTCTAACATCCTTTAGTATCTCTTACAACCCCATCAAGATGCTTGCCACTACATCTCTAGCCTTGTCTCCTTCAAAGCCATGGCTAAGGTTGCATGTTGTGCCTCCATCTATGTTCCATCCATCGCAAGTATCGAAAGGCTATTTGATGACATCCTCATCACCTCCTTTATTACTATCACATCCTCATCTCATCGTTCATCGTGAAATTGGGAAACACTAGCTGATGACTTCAAGTTTGATATCACCTTGCCCAATTGATATTGTTCGCCCTAAATGCCGCACAAACTCATTAAATGCATCACTCGATCATCTCATCCACAATTTTCACACCATTCCATGTTTTCATATTCACTCGCATGCTTATCGCCTGCATGTCCCATCCATGTTATCGCACTCGCATCACCTGTTCTCTTACATCTCTTGACCGCATAACCCATTGTAATCACCCCTCGTCACATAACTCATTGTAATCGCCCCTCATCACATAACACATTGTAATTTCTCATCTGCATCTTTTGCTCATACACCCTTGCTCACTTGCCTATCTAACACCTGCCAATTGAATCCGAACCCATAAACCCTACAAAACGCCTTGGGTTTCAACCTAACTTATATCATCCACATAGTCCAACCCAATCATATGCTCAAATAAAAAAATGTTTGAGTTCAATCATCCAACAGTTTAGTCAAGATGGATCAATCTAGCAATCAACATGACGACTGCTAAACTTCTAAATGTCTTTTCGGAGTATTAATAATGTTATTTCAAATGAATTTCTCATTCATATTATTTAGGATGGAGGTGCTCTACAATTAAAGTAGAGACCTCCAATTCTTCCTTCAGTAATAATGTAACTCTTTGAAATAAAGTTATTTGCCGTCCAGGGCATTGATGCAATACAAGGCAGCCTAAGTCCATCTTGAGTTCATGTTTTCATTATCATGTAAATGTCCTTGTTGTTGAAGCTAAATCATGAGTGGTTGTTGTTAGTTCTTATTAAGACAATTATGTTATTTCATGTTTGTTTAGGGATAGTTTTGTCATTTTTCATTAGGTCAGCTTCTATAAATAGAGCCTGGAGTAGGTGATTTAGTAGATTGAAGTTCATAATAAAATAATAATGGCTTTTGCTATGACATTATTCCTAGTTAGTATTCCCCCTTTAACCTTGAGGTTTCTTCAAGCTTTCTACCTCTTTATCACGTCATTCTTACTTTCTCACTCGCCTTCTGCTCTTGATCTCCCCAGTTCTATCATAGCTGTCTCAAAAAATTGTGATTTGCGGAAAGAAGTGAATCCTTAGGTCCCAAATGATGATGCACAAAAGTCACCCTCACAAGACCATTGTAACAACTAAGAAACAACAACCTCATTGTGCTGAAGTGACAGCACAAGAATTTGCATCCATACAATCATCAGCACAAGTTTTAACAAGTTCCTTTCAATTCTGCTTCTACCTCTCGAAACGTGCAAAAACACATGTAGTCTAGATAAACAAAGTACAAGATTGAACTGCTTGATTTTTTTGGATTGGCAACCCTTTGGGTCATTTCAAGGAGACAATCATAAGTTGGCTTCTAGAATTTGGATCACTTAAGCCCTTCTTAAAATTGTACCCATCTGCAGTATGTGGAACTCACAAAGGTCATTTGGATAAGAGCAGAACTGAAAACTAAAGCAAAACATAATTGATAGTAAATTGACAGAGATTCTATATGATAGCTAAATAGTTCAGGAAAAAGTTGATACCAATAAATGGGAACTAGCTGAAACACATAAAAAAAAACTGTTCAGCTTGGTTGAGTTCCTAATCGAGGACCGATTAAGTTCTAATTTTCTGGAATCAAACAGCAATGTTTTTTTTTCTCTTCTCTTTTTCTTTTTATTTGTATGTGGACTGACATGCATGCCACATATTAACTTACGTTTCTGGCAAAGCATGTGGAGGAAACAAAAAGGATGTTGAGGTCATAAATAAAAGCATTCTCCTTCCTGAAGATGTGGAATAGCAACTTCCATCTGCACATAAATAAGTGATTTAAGATAAACCACGTAGATAGTTAAATTGTGGAGGCTACAGAATATATCTAAACAATGTGCTATATGCTTCAGGGTTGCACTTTCTAGAAGGTTTGACCACTGGCATCGAATTGGTAGCTTTAATAGTGTACGAAACAAACAAAACACAAGGATGAAACAGCTCTAAATAATCACATAGGGATAAATTCAAGAAGAAATTAAATTGAGCACAAAAATCCTTCATAATGTTCATCAAGCACTACCACATCAATGACCAACGTACCCATGAGGTTTCATCATTTTAATATTCATCAATTTTGTCATAAACACATACACCGATCTGGGCTATTTGAGTTCCCCGTAAGCATAACCCTTGTCAATTCATCAATTTTCTCATAAACACATACACTGATCTGGGCCATTTGAGTTCCCCGTAAGCATAACCCTTGTCAATATTTCTTGTTGGAACTTGCCGAAAACAGCGCATCTCAAAACTGCAAAAGCTGAAGCAACTCTCACCTCTATAGATGAAGATGGCCATCAATAATACTCCAAGCTTGAGTACCCTCTGTCAGTGGTAATCATGAAGTAATAAATTCAGATGGCTAGAAAGAAAGGCAATGAAAAATGTGTCCTCTTCAACACCAGGGAACACAAAAGTCTCAATCTAGCCGTCGAATGGAGCTACAAAGTGGCCTCAGTTGCCACCTGACCATCACTGAACGGACCATCCTGATATGAACGCGTAATAAGGACCTCATGTCTCAGGAAGTATGTAATCCAAGTATACAAAGAGGTGAATGATTTTTCCCATCAACCTACTAGTCCGAAATGTTTGTGTTAGGACTTGCTGGCAACGAAGCATCATTCAAGAAAATTTACCTTTAACAACCGAGTCACTATGTTTTTTCTCCCATTGATTTATATTAAATATCTCAAAAAAAACTTCTCACACTAACTAAAATGGCTCAAATAGCACAAAAGTCCTTACGGCTTTTATAAAAAATTAAAAATATGAAAAAACTACATTGAATTTATTGCTTGATTTTGTAAAAAATGTATAAATATATAGAGTTTTTCAAAAGTATTATAATGGAAATAAATCAAAACTAATTAAAAAAATAAAAAGAGTTCCAATAAAGGGTCGCCGGCTAGAAGTGGAAGGAAAGACACACAAATTGCAATCTAAAAGTTATGGATCGATCCAATTACTAGAACCATTAATTCTTGTGCTCAAAAATCCTATCGAGATCTTTCAACACTCCCCCTCAAATAGAATGGTATAAATCTACCTTTCCAAGTTTGCATAAAGAATGGGGTTGCAGAGTCATTTGGTGAGAATGTCACAAGATAAATTCTTCTTGCCATATATGATAAATCAACTCACTTTTTAATTTGTCTTCTATAAAATGTCTATCCACCTCCGCATGTTTGGTACATTCACGTTGTACTAGATTATGAGCACTGCTGATGGAAAATTTATTGTCACAATATATATTCATTAGCCCTTCCCATTTGATTTTTAAATCTTCCAAGTACATTTTAATCGATAGAAGCTCGCATATTTCTTGGGCAATCGCTAAATTCAAATTCAACACTATATCTTGAAACAATGAGTTCGTTTTTTCTTCTCTATGTTATGAGATTTCCTCTAAAAACATATACAATATCCAAATGTAGATCTTCTATTTATTGATGATCCTGCATAGTATGTATCAATATACTTTCAATTTATTAAATATCCTGCCTTTTTTTTTTTTTTTTTTTTTTTTTTTTTTGCATGAACTTGATTTAAAATATCTAAATATTCTATGACCAACTTAAAGGCTTAAGAATGTGCATGAATTAACTGATAAAACTTACAACGTGACATTAGGACAGATGTCAAATAGATCAGTTTTCAAACTAATCTTTAATATTTTTCATATATACTTCTTTTCCTTCTTCGTTTGCATCCAATTTTTGACCTAAATCAGCTAGGGTTTTACAAGGTTTGCAATCAATCATTTTTACTACTTTTAGAAGATATATGACATATTTTTATTGAGAAAGGAATACTCATTTTGATTAAACAACTTCTATTGCACAAAAAAAATTTGAGAATGCTCAGCTCCCAGATCTCAAATTCTTTGCCAAGTTTTTTTTTTCCTAAGAAACTATTTTCTCTATTGTCATCGCATATAACAATTATATCGTCAACATATATAATTATAATTGAGATTTTACTATTAGTGAAATGTTTTATGAAGTAGTTATGATCCTCTTTGTTTTGTTTGTATCCAACTTCATTCATGACTTCTATGAATCTGCCAAACCATGCTCAGAGATTTTTTAAGACTATATAAAATCTCTTTTAATCAGTACACTTTATTCTTTGTGAAAGAACTATCAATCCATATGGTGGATCCATATAGACATCTTAAACATTGCCTTGTAAGAAAGTATTCTTCACATCATACTACCACATGAATCATCTATGATTATTTATAAGAGAAATTAGGACATGTATTGTATTCACTCTCGCACACGGACAAAAACCTTTTTGTAATCAATATCATAGGATTGAGAATATCTTTAGGATATCTATCTCACTTTATACATTTCAGGCTTCCATTTGCATTATATTTAATAGAAAAATCCATTTTAATTAAACAGTTTTCTTCCCTTTGGTAGCTCAATGATCACCCAATGGGGTATCAGGCTCAGTAATGTCCTCCATTCATACATGTTTACCATTATGTTGCTTGTGGATATAGAGATAGATAATGCACCCAAAGATTTTTGAAATTTTTTAGAGGAAGTTATTTGTCGGAAAGAAATCAGCTAGATAATTTAGAAGCAATTTGTAGATAATTTAGAAGCAATTTGAAGCCAATTACTGTTGAGAGTATTCTATTGATTAGATATGTAACGGTTAGAAATGTTTCACTCCAGTGTTTTTTTAATACTTAATTCTAGAATAGAAGAGTCCTTGTGATTTCTAAAAGATGGCATTTTTTTTCTTTCCACCACTTAATTTTGGAAGTGTCAGGAAAAGAGGATTGGGAGATGATATATTCGTTTTAGAAAAAAAAATGACAACATATGATTAAAATAATCATAAGCATTATCAGATCAAAATATCTTAATTTTAGTATTGAATTATCTTTGTCATAACAGTAAAGATTTTAAGGAAGCGCAATACTCATCATTATCCTGAGTGTCTTCCTTCAATTGCATGATTTAGGAGTTAGAATCATAAAACTTTTTCAATAAACTTTTGAACCTTAATTGCTCAATCTTAAAATCATACGATGCAGGGACTTATGGTTGAAATCAAAAATATTGTCCCATTCAGTAGGAGGTGATATAACAATCAAATGGATCTTCGCATTCTTCTGACTTAGTTTAGGTTGAATCTCATAATGGGGTTTTTGAAGAATTGGTTTGTTATATCCTGGCTTTATAAAAAATAATTCTATGGTCTTTTCTTTATATTTGAATACTTACGTGTTCTTACAACAATAATGTATAACATCTAAGTCATAAAGAAAAGGTCTTCCTAGAAAAATATGTGTTCTGTTAATAGGAAGAACATAAAACTATATGTGATCCTCAAAACTATCAATCTTAATGGGTATTAGGCATCTAGATGTGATGGGTAATGAGGTCAAGAATATCGACTTGTATGGAAAGGCTTAAGATGGGCTTCAAATTTTAAATTGATTTTTGCTAGCGTATGAGTAGATATAACATTCATTGAACTACCCCATTAATGATTAATTTGCACCATTTATCTTTACACACGACATACATATATTCATATATTATTGATGACTCTGTTGATATAATAAAATTTTATTCCAAAATATTTGTGTTTACATTTATTCATATATGATTTTTTTCTACTTGAATACAAAATTATGCTATTTGACCTTGACTCTTGAGGTTATCCCATGAGTTGATATTAAGTCCCTTCATCATGTCTCATGTTATCCAAGTGTATTGTCATTCAGACTCAGGGTGTGATAGAGTGGCATCAAAGGCTATCTATTTGTATTCAGCATACCTTTTTTTTTTTTAATTATATGATAGCAAAATAGATTCATTTTAATTCATTCTAGTTATTATATTTATATATTAGCTTTTTTATTTTATTTTACTTTATTTTTTCCTTGCTTTGTTTTATTTATATAGAATAGCATCTAGGAGAAGAAGTGTTGCCATTATTAGTACTAGAAGTAAAAAGAAAGTTAATTGTAAGGGATTTGCAAAACATCTCAGCAACTATCCCTCGTTGTATCCTTTTCAGAAGGACCACATCTCCCAAAGCAAAGTCGCACCTGCAATCTACAACATCTTGAGAAGGGGTCAAGTAACTCTCCATGATTCTCAACTTGGAAATTGAGGATTTTTTTTCAATCTATTCTACACCAAGCAAAGGCATCTTGTAGTTCGAAACTCTCTTGAACACCTCAATGACATCACATATCAACCATTATTGCTTCAACTGCTTGAGATATTCTTGTCAGATAAAATTTCCAACTGATATCCTCTAGAATTCATCATCCCATCATGCATACCACCTCGCACACATAGGGTGCCACGTGTCCATAAATAGCATACAAATGACCCTACTCTCATAACACCTAGCGATAGGAAATCCCCTCGAACATGCTGTATTATGGCTTTTTAAACTCATCCAACGGCTACAAGGTGATCTTCTTTAGCCTCAAAGGCCTTTGAAATCCTAGCAACATTTCCAAACTCTTTAGTTCCTTAAAAAAAAACCAACAAGACAACATAGTACAGTGTGTGAACTATCTTTGGTTGTTATAATACTCATCCCTTTATTTGTTTGTCCACTTGGCTCTATGGGAGGGACACTATAAACTTTTCCTTGATTCAATTTAGCACATTCCGATAGGGAAGAACTCAAATTAGATTTAGGCATTTCCATTGAACCACTCTACAATCTTGTATTCATTGTTGATTGTGCTCTTGTATATCTATGCTCACTTTCTCATTATATCACTCTATAGCAATTCAGATTGGACATTTTTAACATCTACCTTTTTGAACCCTTGAGAGGTGTCATTGTCTAACGCTACTTAACCGAGTATGCCGAACAATCTCTTCGTTCCCATTTTTAAACTTTCAATGCTCTCAAATGAGAATACAATCGGCAAACATATTTTTTACATGAGTATTTGTTTTTTTACATAGAAAACAATAACTAAAGAATCAAATCATATCTGGAAATTAAAGCATTAGGATGCAGGCACACACGATCCCCAGTCCCCACCGTTATGGTTTATAAAGCACCGATGAGCACGGATGCAAAAAGATAACAATTTCTTCTTCATATTGACTAGACGAAAAAAAAGAAACGGTTCATTCAATTTGCGCAGGGCATTTCTCTGAATCTTAAATCACAAACACGTTTTTTTGCGACACCAAAATCCTTTATACACATATATTGGTATATCAGCTTACCGGAATTCTCGTAGCAGCGGGCCATGTGGTGTAACGACGAAATGGAGACCGACGGGTGCTGGTAGATGTTTTCGAGCTGAAGGCGAGGGCCATGTGGGGTAAGGCTAGGGTTATGTCGTGCGGCGAAGCCGGAGGTCGTGGAGGGCGCGGGGAAGGAGAAGGCGTGGGAGACAGAATAAGGCAGCTGTAATGGGTGATGTTGCTGATTAGGAAGAAGCGGTAGGGATGATGTCATCCACATCGTCGACGAGTCGAGGCTTCGGAACCTGGGGTTCTTCCGATTTAGAACTTGGAGAGATGGAAAGTGCTCGGATTAGCTGAAGCCGAACCTCATCGATTCAACTGGACTTCGACGCTTGGAGTTCCAGTCTTAGAATTTTTTATTAGGTCCTCTGTAACGTAGACCGTGTGGCCCGACCACCCGATCCAGACGGACCCCAGATTGATATGTATTCTCTAATTTGTGCAGATCGGAGTATTATTAGGTATGGCTCGATATTACTCGACAATAACGAGAAATATCATTATGTCAAGATCAATACTTAGCAATATCGAGCAATGCCGAGCAATACTAAGCAATACCCGGGTTTTGCTAGGTATTGTTAGTTATTGCTACGTATTGTTCGGTACTGCTAGGTATTGACATAGCAGTATTTCTCACTATTATCAAACAATACCTAGCAATACCGAGTAATACCTAGCAATACCCAAACATAGCAATACTGGGTTCCGATCTGGGTCGGGTCGTCGAGCTATGCAATAAATAATAAGAGCACGTGGCAACATGTTATTGACCTCCAGATGTAGAGCTACATACGATGTCTGAACCTAATAATTTTGGCTTTGTGGCTGCAAGATTTAACTCAAATAGTATTTATTAAATTCGAATTTAATAGTAACGTTTGAAATAGTTTATTTTAAAAATTATTTTATATGATGAAAATTAAATTTTAAGAAACTATCTGATTATTTATTTTATGAACTAAATCTGTTTAATTGAATAATATTTTAATAATTATAAGATGAAGATGATATCTTATGATGTCTGTTAAGCATATTTTAATTTTAATTTGATTAATTAAATCATGTGTAGTATAAGATAGTATTTTAATTAATAATTAATAATGAACTTATTAAACTGTTTAAAATATTAATTTATATTTAATCAAATTAACTCAACAATAATATAATTGTAACTAAGCTAGTAATTGTAATTACTTAATATTAATTCTTTAGATTAATTCATTTTTAATTAATGTATTTATATCTCATTTATTTGATTAAATATTACTCATTGTAATTTACACTTTTTGTCAACTCTAATTAGATTAATGAAATTGTACTTAGAATACATTATTTTTTTTCTTAATTACTAATTGCTACATTATTAAACTAATTAAAATCTTAAAAAATATTTAATTATATTAATCAATTTAAGGTAATAAATTTTAAATAAATTAATATTACTTATTAAATTTGATTATTAAAAATGCTTTTTTTAATAATATTACCTATATCACAAATAATAATAATACTTATTATCTCAAACCCTAGTTCCTAAAACTCTCCTTAATGGCAAACACAAATTAAAGATAAGTGCCCAACTCAAGGAAGCCATCCATGAGGATCAACCACATGTGAAGGAGAAGAGGAATTCGTAACTATTGTTTATCAGTTACCAAAATTTCCTAAACTCTCCTACAAAAAATCCCAAAACACTCAATAATAAAGCAATGACAAGCGGTTGAAGCCATTAACAAAAAGGAAATGAGGAAGTCGCGATAAGAATAGACGAAAAAGAAATGAAAGAGTTTGTTGATACGTCGTCACAAAATTAGCTTGATTGGGCACGAATCTTGAGGCAAAAGCTAGTTGGAAACTTCGAAAATTAAATTTGGGAGCAAATGAACTCCGATTTCAGCGAGCTTACTGTCGAACTGAGCGACTCAGGACGCAACATTTGTAATTATTATTTATCAGCTGCCAAAATTCCCTAAACTCTGAAGTCATTGCCAAAAAAGAAATGAAAAAGTCTCAATAAGAAGGAAAATTATTAGGTCCGGACACCGGACCTAGAAATAGGTCCGGATATCCAATTAAAATTTGACACGTGTGATGCGCCTTGACTGTGCTTTTTGACTTCGCTTTTGTCACGCTTGACTAAAAATTCCACGAATACATGTACAATTCACATGTCAATATTTTATAGGACACCGGACGTATCTCTTCGTGATACGTCCAATGTCCAGACATAATAATTTTCCCAATAAAAAACCATAGAAGAAGAGGAAATATAACTATCTTTATCTACTACTAAAATTCCCTAAACTCTCGCCTACATAAAATCCCAAAAGAAAGAAATATATGGTTTTGCAAGAATTATTTCACATTATTTTAAAATTAAATATTTCGAGATATATAAAGTACATATATGAATTCATAAAATAAGAATGCAATTAATTTTATAATTTTCCAAAAAATTGCATTTATTTATGAAAATATATTTTCCAAAAATATTTCATCATTTTTTCCCTAATTTAAAACCACCATTTAGTTGATATTTAGATGTATGGTAAAATAATGAAAATCCATTTCGATTCATGTTAAGGAGAGTTTGTGATGCATCTGTAAGCTATTCAAGGATGAAATATCAAAGGGAAAGAGTAGAGGCCAAGAACTTCAAGATGTTGGTGATTCTCTTAAGCTTCATTTGGGACGATTTTTATCACTTCTTAAAATAATTTTTAGTAAAAATTTACTCTTTTTTTTACTAAAAATTTTCTTTAAGCAGCAATAAAAAATCCGTCCCAAACGAAGCCTTATTATGTGACAAGAAAAGGCTTGGGGTGTTGCAAGGCTGTCGAAGAGCTGGTAGGGTGACAACAGGGTTAGGGATTGTGGACAAGCTCAGCTAGAAGCTGGGAGTAGCTTTAGGTTTCATTTGAGACCGTATTCTTATTACTTCTTAAAGCAGCTTTTTAGTACAAAAATTTTAATTTTTGTACTAAATAGCTGTTTTTAGAAACAGTAAGAAAGCAGTCTCAAACGAAACCTTAGTGTTCAATGAGAAAGCCAAACCCGAGATGGGAGATTTCGGGCTTGGTGCAAGGAGGGGATCAATGAAAAAATTGTGTAGATGCTTTCAAGCTTGAAGAAGGGATGTAGGTAGCAACTAGAGCTATAGTATGAGCCAAGAGGTAGTAAGGGCAGAGATGTAAGCAAGGAGCTATTAAGGTGAACTTGTAATGACTACAATTTGTCGTTAAAAAATACATGATTTGATATATAAGCTCCTAATGTTATACAATGAAACTCCAGTAAACCACAATGAAATAACGCGACGTTGACAAGCATAATTATAGAGGTATAAGGAAGAATAATCTAGGAATTTTGCTTTGTTGAAGTCCACATCGCAAGTTGTAAAGCTACAAAGTACAACAGTAAGCTAATTATTGTAGATAAACTGCATTTAGCAATCTGGCAAGACTGAAACACAAATGTTTTCAGTCCAAAAAAATTAGGAAGAAAGTAGCTGTGGAGATCTGCATGTATGGTGAAATACAACCGCATTTCAAAGGAGTTGCAGTTACTGTAGCTACATCGACGCAAGTGCTTAGTTTAGTTCCCAATTTGGCAATTTCTCACAGTAGGGCTATTCTCTCTATAGTATCTCTAAATGGGATATCAGTCGCCACCCAAACTCATCAACAAATCAGTTCGGAGCTCCATTCTTTGACATGATAGTAATTAGTGGCAAGAAAGTAGCACAAAGCTTCAACCATCTAAGTTGTTTTTTGGCTTCGTTTGGGAAAATTATTAGGTCCGGTCAGCATACCTGATTTTTCGTCCAGATTCTATGCGCTTTTAGTGCGCTTTTGATGTATTTTTGAAAAATAGCATATAATACACAATTTTAACTGTATATTAGCTGCTCTTTTGTTGAGTATTTGCAAAAACATAACAAAAGCGCAGCAAAAGTGCAACAAATATCTTGCTCATTGAGTATTTGATGCCCTTTTGATGTGTTTTTGCTGCGCTTTTCAGATACTCAGTAAAAGGCCAGCAAAAGAGCAGCTAATATGCAGTTAATTGTGTATTAGCTGCTCTTTTTCAAAAATACATCAAAAGCGCACTAAAAGCGCATGGAATCCGGACGAAAAATTAGAATAATTTGCCCTTCGTTTGGTGTGACTTTCTTGTTGCTTCTTAAAGCAGCTTTCTAGTATACAAATTTTAATTTGTATACTAAAAAACTGCTTTAAGAAGCAACAAAAAAGCCGTCCCAAACGAAACCTTCATATGCAATGCTTCTCGTTAAAACCATCTGCTGTCAGCAAGCCAGTAATGAGGTTCTTAAGTCTCTCAGCACCGGGCCCAGGTCTGAGATCTTTCACACTCGAGACAGAATAACTGGAATCATTAACGTTATTCAAGCGATCAAACCACCCACCATGCACAAACCCATCAGACGCATTGCGACTCAATAGTTCCCTGTCGATCTGGTCGAGCACTGGATCTTCCTTGGGAAATTTCCTTGCGAAGGGAGCGTTACTGTGAACCATTTGAGAGAAATCATTGAGAGTAAGGAAGTGTGGGTGCTGCTTCGGAGGATTGTCCCAAGAAATATAATGGAGGTCGTGGTTGACAGTTGTATTACTAAACTGTGGTGCATTGCAGATAACTGTGTGAAAATAGCCTTCGGGTGATGAGAGGAAATTTGCATAGTACATTAGAACAGTACGAGGAAGATTGTCCCATCCCCATATGCAGAACTCAATGAACTGATGAGAAAGCATCATCCAAGCAGAACCTGATTGTAAAAGGAAGGGCAATGATCTCATGATTTGGCTAAAAATGCAATTTGAAATTTGAAATTGTCGTGAAAGAAACTTCAGTAACATGAGTTAAAAAGAAAAGTATTGCTGTGACAATGAAAATATGCAAATGAATTTTTACAAATAAATAATCAGCACTGAAATTGTTCAAAATTTTACTTCTCTTCCACCCAAAAAAAGTCTTCCAATAAAGAACCTCGGACTACTTATTATAGAAATCTTTGAATTATTTGAAGTAGAACTGTTACTTCCATTCAGGCATTGTTTCAGTGACAACCATACAACAAATAGGTAAATAACCTAGCCTTGGGATGCTAAAACGCACTGATTTTTTGTATGCCATTAATCATGGTTGATATATTAGTGTACCAGACCCAAACGGTTAAAAATTTACTAAACGAGTAATGGCACAGTATATGCTGCCAGCCTACTGAACATTAAGCTCATAGTAATTGATGCAAACATTTCTCTTCAGATTACATTACGCATAAGTTTCCCTGGCCCTCTCACAAAACAGCTAACAGAACATCCCACAAACAGCACAATCACCCTGTATTTAATGCATGCTAAATGATAGAAAGAGGAACTTGGGGACGTAGGCTTTGATGAAGTTGGTCAATCATATACGAGTTAATTTTAGAAGAAAGCCTATATGAACATCACTATATGGACAAACAACAACAACAAACCTTTATCCACTACGTGGGGTCGGCTACATGAATCATTTTGTTAACAACAACAAAAAACAAACATTTACCCACTACGTGGGGTCAGCTACATGAATCATTTTGTTTCGCATTCTGTCTCTAAGAGTAAAGACACTCATCCACCTGAGCATCCTCATCTCTACAACACTTAACTTGATTTTATGCATCTATTTTAATGGCCAACATTCTGCACCATAAAGCATTACAGGTCTCACCACCATCTTATAAAATTTTCCCTTACGTTTGAGAGATACTTTCTATCATATAATAGAGCAAATGCATTCCTCCACTTCAACCATCCAACCTGAATTCTACTGATAATATCCCCATCTATTTCACCATCACTATAAACTATAGACCTAAGATATCGACGTGTACTCTTTTCAATGGCATGATTGCCCAAAATCAAAATCCCCCCACTAGATCTATTACTACTAAAATCATTCGGGTTTAGATCTACACATACAAAAACCTTTAGACTCTAAGTGTATGGAAAAACAATGCAGAAAATTTCAAAAAAAAAAAAAAAAACACCTGTACACACCATCACCTAAAACTCTCCTAGGGGCTAGGGCTGCCCCTAATTTCATTCATAGTGCTAAATAAGAGGCAATTAGCAAAACATAGGCGGAAAGGATCCAAAAGCAATAGACCCAGTGTCTCAACTATCATGCAAAACCAAAATAAGCACCTAAGATATGATAGTCTTTACATCTAAGGGAAAGCACAATTATATTGCAGTTCATTTCTATGCCCTGACAACAAATGTGACCTAAATAAAATAAATTTAAAAAGATAGATTGCTCAATATACTCGTCATTCTTATTACTAGGAAATAAAATTTGGAATATATATATATATATGTGTTCTCCCTTAATTACATATATTCTCTCATTTATTTTCTTCAATATTATATTCATCTTTCATTCTTATAAATAGATATCATTATTCAGTGAATAAAATCATTTAATTTCCTTCCCACAACATAGTATCAAAGCCCATATTCACTGCTTTCCTACACATAAGTATCACAAATCATAAAAGTTGTCTCTCCCACACTTGCCCTCGCACCCGCAAACCTACATCTCCTGTAAACTGCATGGACTACCCTCCACATGGCTCACCTCCCTTGATTTGCTAATGCGCATTGCTCACCCTGTGGTCCATGGAATCACTCTCGTACCTCATGTACCACTCTCCTGATTCACACCCTTGCTCGCCTTGCTATTCATTTATTGCCCATCACCTCCCACAAACTTTGTTTGCCTTCTACTATTACTCACACAACGATCACTACCCCGCATGCAAGCACTTGCCCTGCATCTCACTTGCTTTTTGAAGCCTCGTCACTCAAAAACATGCGCCAAACTCCTTTATAGGAATATTTCACATATTCTCCAAATCTATGTAATCACCCGTTATCGCCCTTTTCCCTGAGCTACATTCATTTGCCCTCCAAAGCTAACATATTGCTGAGCTCTTATATCGATACCTTGAGTCACACACAACCTATGCTATCATATGTATTGTTTAATATCTTATTATCATCTACATTTGTCCTATACATTTGGCCAACCCCACGTAGTGGGATAAGCGGAGGTGAAGCTAATTTTATTAGTTTTAATAACATTGTTATTTATTACGTCATTATGTTCGACACCGGTTCGAACGGTCGAACCATGAACATCTCCTTTTTCCGGTTTATTGTTGTAACCAACCTGTAATATGCGATTATTGTTTCACGCTCTATGTGCATAAAGCACTGCTCCACTTACTCAGCTTACAACGGCTTGTACTGCTTGAACTAACACTGCTTGATATCTGTCACTCAATCTGCAAGTCTTAGCTGCTCAATTATCTACTATATATATCTCCTATAAATAGTAAATAGACAGAGAGTTTTATCCTTACAATTCATTCTTTTATCCATCTTTACTCTACTGCTATACAGGTATTAAGCTCTTTATGGTATCAGAGCGAACCAGGTAACTTTTTTTTTCTTCTTTCCTCTTAATATAAACTTTAAGTAGAGAGTTGGTGGGGATGTTCAATTTGGAGGCATTTGACATTCTTCTATCATTATCATCACTATTATCTATTATTTGCACTATCACTTGGTCCATCCTCCTCAACTTTAGGAATTTCTTACATTCATGCATTCAAAATGCAAATGCTCTGCTTATGAATTAGGTAAATATCATTGTGTGACAATTCCATGATCCACTACTAGTAGTTGTCTTCTTTTTTGAGTTATTCACTTTGATAATTGGGGTCCACATCCTATTTTGGCATAGTTAGTGTTCCTTTATTTTGCTAAATTCAATAATTAAAAGAAAATTTATTAAAATGTCATTTGTAAGCCCTTGATGCTTTTAAATTAATTAAAATATGAGTTAGAAGACCTTGATAATTTCCGCAAGTTTAATCAAGAAATTAAAGTTCAATTTTCTTATTTACTGAAAATTTTAGGCACTGATGATGTTTCATAATACATGAATCCAATGTCATAATTTTTATTTAAAAATAACATTCTTCATCAAACCACATGTCCATATACGTCTCTGCAAAATGAAATCAGTGAATGCTAAAATATTTATCTCTTCAATGTTGCTAGGACACTCCTATGTCACATATATGTTCAATCTCTAGTTTTAGAGAGAGGAGATACTTTTGCTTTGTTACCTTATTAATTGTGTCCCCTCTACACTTTCAAAAATCAATCACCCATTACTACTTATTTTTTTCCTAATCCACCTATTGTTTCGCTCACTCCACGAGTGTTTGTTTGTCTTAGCTTTGTTCATGTTTTTCACTTGACATGATGAACTCTCCCTCTACCACTTGTATATTCTTTAGGCACCCCCGAACATAAAAATGATACCAAATTTTAGTATGTTTTAGCTGACTTCACCTTCCATGGGAATACACATTTCTTTCCTCCCTTTACCACTTATCATTTGTATGACCTCGATAAACTTCTCCTACAACACCTATTATTGCATCAATTTTTACAAAGGATCTCTCAAAGGCTGTGCCTCTAGATTCACAACTTCCTATTACACTACAACAAAGTAAACTACAAATTACAATCATCCTATTCACTCTTTCATGATTTTTTACTATTTATCCCCTTATCATATCATCATTTTGTCATGTTTTAGTCAATTGTCTTTATTCCAAAGGCATATCTATAACCACTATAGCATTCTTTATGAAAATAGGCTACGGTTTAAAAATATGCTCATCATAGTCAACAAAAATAAGAGTTGGTTACCCTTTGTTTTGGGGTCAGGCAAATTATTTGTTGATGGGTTTTCACTATTAAGTATCATCTTGAAACTTGATGGCCATTAATCAAGTTGGCAATCCTTTCCTATATAGTAGCTTGAATGAGACCAGTATAAACGAAGCAATCTTCTGGGTATGTTGTTAAGGGGGAGCCGGGGAGGAATACATATCTACATAGGAATGCCATTTATGGGTTCAAGCACTCAATGAACTTGATTTGACAAATTTTGTAAATTTCATACAAAAATTGGCCTTTTGTCAAATGTACACAAGTGTTAGTAGTTTAGATGATATATTACTCTGTGTCTGTGATAAAGAAGTAATATCTAAAGTAAAGCATTACTAGTAGAATAATTTTGTGACCACAGATTTAGGGCACCCAAAATACTTTCTTGAGATTGAATTTAATTGCAACAAGAAAACAATCTCCTTATCTCAAAGAAAACAAGTCAATGATTTCCTAGAAGAAATTAGACTTTTAGGGTGGAAACAAGTTAACTCCCCCATAGATAACTAAATCATGTTTGATAAGGATATACCATATATGCATATAGTGATCCATTTCAGCATCAAAGACTAAAAAATATCTTTTGTAGTTGGGGTCAAAACAAAGATATTGAGATGTTGTCCTTCTCATTTTCAAATACATCAGGAAGGCTCCTTTATACTTAGACTAAGCACCTAGATATTAAAGTGTTTATTAGTGTCGAATATGTTGGCCATGTTGATAACAAAAAATCAACTTTTGGGTATTAATTTTTCTTGGGATATGATATGATCACTTAGAAGAGTAAGAACAAAACCATTATACCTAGATCTAATGTTGAAGAAGAATATAAAATCATGGCTTATTCTACAAATGAAATGATGTGTCAAGATTCTGATAAAAGAATTTAGTTTCCTAATAATTGAGCATGTGATTCTCTATTGTGACTACCATTCAACCATATACATTGCCAACAATTTTGTGTTTCATGAAAGGAAAAAATGCATGAAAGTTGATTCATTTCATACAGGATGTTGTGCTTTCAAAATTATTGTTAATCTTCATATTTTCAGTTCAAAACAAGTGGTAGATATCTTCACCAAAATTTAGGGTCCTCCCAATTTCTCGCTTATATGACAAGCTAAAGCTAATAAATAGATATGCTCCAACTTGAGGGGGGATATTAACTCGTATGATGCTTATTATATAATAATGATAAGAAGGAATTACATTATATAAGTATATATTTTGAAAAAAAAATACATTTATTCTCTTTTAATTACATTTATTCTCAACTTTATTTTCCTCATATTGCATTGATCATAAATAGGCATCACACTAAATAAAATCATCCAATTTTCGTTTCACAACAAGTATATTAGAAAATAGGTGATGGACAATTTACAAGGAAATATGTACACTTTGCTATTCGTTTGATATTCTTCAGATAGCATATTAACTGAACTTAGATAAGAACCTGGTATTTTACAAGTTTCAACTGAATATTGATGACAATCATGCATAAATCAATGTCAAATAAGCTGAATAAAAAATAAATAAAAAAGCTTGCATGCTTCACATAATATAATAATTGGACTGACATGAATAACCAAGTCTCTTCCTTGAGACCATAGACTACAATAAGCAAGACAAGTAAAAAATCAATTTTGAAGATAACTAAATTCATATAATATCATGTTGTAGGTATAGAACATAGAAGTGCAAATAAAAATCACTCGGAACCTTCACCTGTAAAGAGCTTGTATGCAGTGGCAACACTTCTTTTCTCAGTAATCCAAAAGACATCTGATTTGTGCAAGCTGTAGAGACCAGGGTCAATTATCACAGGTTTGGCCCTCTGATACCTGCTCAACATTATCAAATTAATCAACTTTTTCTTAAAAAGAAAAAAAAAAAACTTCAAGAGAGTTTAACAAATACAATTAACATTATAAGAAAATAAAACTAATCATACTCTTTCCATCCAATGTCACTTGTATGCTCAATAAAATTCAGTTGCCGAGGTAAGCTTGACAACGTGTAGAGCAGATCTGGCAGCAAAGCAGAAGACAGATTCTTCTCAGTCAAAAGTTCACAACACGGGCATCAATATTTAAACGCCTCTAAAAAATAAGAAACTAAAACGAAGAATTATAACACTCCTCGCTAAGGATAAATTAAAAAATCACCAGCTCATGTGCTTGCCCTAAAACCAGTGAAAGCATATCAAGGATGAAAGCTACTAAACTTTTGCCAGATACTTGGAGCAATAAGGAATTTTTTTCTCAAACTAATTGAAGAGCGAAGTACTTGCATCAAGAACAAAAATCAAATCCATTACTAAGCAGGAACGAAACATGAACTGCAAAAGCCAATTTAAACCAAAAAATCAACGCCCAAAATCAGTTCAGTTAGCATGCCATCCCACAAAAATCATAATCCTGAAAAAGAACGACTTGCTAGCATTAATTCCATTCAAAACAAAGAAGATGTGAAAAGAACCTCTCCCACCACAAAGATTGTACCAATTTTGTTGAGCAAAACTAAAAGTAAAATTAACAGAAAAAATACCTCAAATTGGGAATCTCTCAAAAAGAAGCCACTAAAAACATACAAGAACAAAAGTAAACCCTCACCATCCTGAGTAACAAGGGGATAATCAGAGGCGCTCAGGTTGATAAACCAATCCCAATCGCCCCCCTCCTTAAGAAGTATCGCCGCAGCGTGAAGCGTATTCGCCACCATTGTCGGGCCCCTGTATGTCACCAGATTCGCCCGCTCAATCACTCTCACATTCCCAACCCGCGAATAGATCCGATCATCCCTAACAGCAACAACAAGCTCCAACCGCTCCACCGGCGAAGCTTCGAGATCAAGATGAACAACATATCTATTCGCCGGATGGTACAACGCCTTTAAAGTCCTTCTCAAGCTCCCGCCATCGCCCGCCGAGCCAGAGATGAGGTAAGCCAGGCGAGGCACAGCGTTTACTGGTGTGGACGGAATCGGTGGTAATATGAGCTTAGACTCAACGAAGAGGGTATTCTCACCATGTAAGCTGGAGCGGATCTGGGAAAGCGAGAGGAATAGGAGCGTCCGAGGGGAGAATGACGGCGAGGAAGAGAAGAGGGCAACTGATATAAGTAGGGAGCACAGAAGAAGAGAAACCAGAAGAGGAACGAGCCAACGCCGCTGCTGCGGGGCTGGCTTCGTCTCCATCGACTGCAGCGGCTTCGTTTTGAGCAGCGTCCGACGAGGGTTTATACTGACTTGTGAGATCGGACTACACTGTCACCCTCCCATCCCACCAACCGCCTCATCTCATGCCTCTGCTTTGCTCGCATGCACACAGAGAGAAACAGATACACAGAGAAGAAAACTTCAGTCGACGGCGGTGGCGATAGCTTTGATCGTAACTGTAACTAAAAGAAACCAAGAAATCGCAATCCTCAAATCAAAAGAAGGAAGAAAAAAAAGTTGATACGCGTTCTCTTATGGTTAGTGGCGTTCCATCGGCCCTTAATATTATTAATATCTTCCTACGCTTCCATTTCTTTATTTTGCTTTTCATTAATTAAACGGAATAATAAGACGGGTGATTATAATAATCTATGATGGTGCACTGCACTACTACTATACAATAATTTATACGTAGCATTGCTCTTATACATAATAACTTATCATGCTTTACTATAAAATATATAAAAATATTTTGTCTTAATTTTGTTAAATCTTACTTTTAAATACGAAGTCCTCACCGATTTTAATAGAAAATTTCTTGTTTAGGTAGAAGTCCACATCGATGCTGGTCTTTAAATTGCGCTTTGAAATTATTAGAATTTCTTCGACGGGACGGCTTGAAATTTTGGGAATGATGAGGGCGTTGTAGTAAAAGACTTCGTTGCAATTACGCGGCATTAAATTGAAATAGGGTGTCAAAAGTTGGAGCTAATATTCTGTGCAAGCAGGCACCTGACGGTTCTCCCATCCACTTACGCACTCGATACTGAGCATTATTGAGCGTGGGTACCGAGTTCGGTACCAAGCGCGGAATATTTTTGGGGTGACGTGATGCATTTTTATTGGTCTGTGGATACTGTCCGGACTCTGCACAGAATAATAAATCCAAAAGTTGACATGGTCTGAAACCAGACTTGGACCCGACCTGGAAAAATCCGGATTCGGGTCAACCCGTTTGTGAAGTGGGTCGTGTCCATATTCAAATTTTGACCCATTTGAAAAACAAGTTGGGTTCGATTTGACTCGACAACTCGGAGTTGACCTAGATAACCAGCGACCAAACGTCTACACAATCTAGCCCAATCGCCTTGCCACTTGCCACCAATGCCATGGACCACACGACTAAAAACTTGACGCTCGACGATCGACCCCGCAGGCCCAACTCCTCCAGTCCTCCTACCTACCACAGGATCCGCACAAGTCGTCATGAACGCAAGTCACGCAACCTAGCGCCCATCCAATCACCATTCGCCCACCGCTTGTAGAAGCGGAACTCGTCGGTGCTGCCAGTCGACCCAATGACCCCGACCTCACTGACGGCACAACCTTGCTTGCTTAACCGTTGTATTTGCGACTTTGCGGTTCGCCCAAGCCCTACTCAATCGCGGGTCGAGTCTGGATTGTAAATCTTGATTCATTTAGCTAAACGGAGTCGGGTTCAAGTCAACCCGAACCGTTTACTCCCGAGTCAACTCGGGTTGGGGACCCAAACCTAACCCATTGAGCCGAATTGACACCGCTAATTGAACACAATGTAAACAAATAAATAACATCACATAATACTTCAAATTCAAATTATTATTACTTTAATAAACTAATAAGAGTTGAATTGTCATTTCAAAATCTAATAATTTTGTTATTTATTAAATTCTTTTAATATGAAAAGACAAATTTGAATTTATATGTCTTCTAATTCTCACAAGAACTAGAGAAATATATCTACTGTTTTATTTTACATAGAAGGGTGACTATAACTTTTGATTCAAACAAAAGGATCCCTCATTTAGGACGAAATTATTCTATGCTGAGAGGATCCTACGTCTGCAGAGGAAGAATCCGGTGTGGCACATTGAGTATGCCTGTTTTGCCAGCTTAGCTGTTTTGATACATCAGTGGTACTCAATCTCCAGGTATCTGATCAACATCGTAGCCGCTGGTACACAGCGAAGGGTGACTGACACATTGCTAGTGTATTCTTGTGACGACATTCGGCAGTCCCAACGAAAATTTTGCCCTGATTTTAGCACTAAAACTCCATACCATATTAAATTGACGATTAACAGTCCCACAAATCAACATCACCTGCAATAATCTAGCTTGATCGCATCACTCAAACTTGTATCGTGCTCAATTCACTTCATTAGACTCTCTAGCTAACTGCAACTTTCATATCGCCTCAACTAATCATTGCATACATACTGACTTGCACCCTTTACATATCTCCATATACTTCACTTACCACATTTCTTGACAGGTCAATGCCAACATAATGCACACTATAATTATATATATATATAGTTAATATCATATATAATATAAATATAGTATAATAAATTATTTATATTATATATAAATATTAATATAATATATAATATATAAATATTAAATATATAATATATTAATATATTATAGAGTTTATTAATATATAAAATATATAAGATTTATCGATTATTGTTTTATATATAAGAAAAAAAGAATTAAGAATTGACAAATTAAAATAGAAGAGGAAAAGTAGTTTACTTTATGTGGATTATGAGAGATATATAATCAAAATTATTATTTTCTTTTATAATAAAATATAATATATTAAGTATATTAGATAAAAAACTAGCTCCACATTAGTAGGTAATATATAACTCCCATATAAAATAGATAATAATAAGTCATAACTAGACGATTATATTATATAGATTTGTTACAAATAAGCATAAAGAAGCTCCGCATACTGAGCTAATACAATACCCAATTATTAATCGATCGATCGTCAACTAACACTTTATTCTCTTACCATATTTTTTGTAATATGAATAAACTAGCCCCTATACTAAAATAGTATCGTTCGAACTTGAAACAATTAGAACACTTTTTGTATATATTTTATATTAGGAATCTTTGAATAATAAAAAACTTTTTAATTATTTTTTTTTATATCTAAAACTAATTTTTTTATTGTATTAAAATTAGGGCATCTACAATCCGGGGCGGAACCCGCTTAGGTCCCCGGGGGGAATTGCCCCCTCTAAAAATATATATAGTGTTATATTTTTTCTTTAGGTATTGTCCTTTTTTTTTTTATCCTATTTTTAGAATTTATTATAATGTTTATTAGCAATTATCGTCCTTAGAAAGTTTTAAACCAATAATATGATTTTTAGGCAAGTTGGTTCGTAAGCAAATATTAAAATCAGTAATTCATATTATTGTTTTAATAATTTGAATTGCATAAGGAGGCTGCCAATTCCCTATACCCCTAAATTATATTTAGAATGTGTAACGTCTAATGATAATGAACAAATTAAGGGTAGCTATTAACCACATTTTTTGTAGTGAATTTGGTCGATCCGCACACCCCCCCCCGCCTGGCCTACTAACAAACTGCCAATCATGTGATTGGTAGCTACACAAACCTACTCCTGAACGTCAAAAAAAATTATTGTTTGCGGCTTATTATCAGGCTGTCACAAGTATTCAACAGAAATTTTTTTTTTGTGCAGCATAATGCGGATGAAAAAAAAATTTATCATTACATATGTTTTTTATATGAATGAAGTTTCACGTTGAAAGTATATACATTTCACTATATTAATTATGATAGTCAACTAGTTGAAGTGAAACAAAAAAAAAAGTTTAATTGGAGATGCCCTAAATTATGTCTGGTATTCATAAAACATAATTAGGGAAATTTACATACATACCACTTTATTTTATGTCATTTATATATCTAATACCTAAAACATTAATATTACATGCCTATCATCTACATACAACTGTAATATCAAATATACCACTCTTATAATTCTTTTCTACCATTCATAACATTCTATAAATTTTAATATTTTATTACGTACATCAAAATTTATTCTATAGATGATAGACTTATAATATAAATATTTTAAATATTAGATATGTAAATAGTATAAAATAAAATAATATGTATGTAAATCTCCCAACATCTTAATTTGCGCCGTTGCTAACCCTTCGAATAGAACCCCACCTTTCAGATTAGAGCGTGCGAGGGAAGAGAAGAAGCACAGGGGAGAGCATATTCCCGTTGCTTTTCTCTGCCATCACACAGATCTTTTCTCCACCAAGTTTTCAGTTGTTCGGCTGCTGTTATTCTTCTTGTCTTCGTACTTGTAACCGATTCTTGATTGTTGCCTCGAAGTCTATCTTCCTTGATATTGGTGTTTGAATTTTCTATCATGTTTAATCGTTGCGCTGAACCCTTTCGTTTGCAATCTTCATCTGGGAAATTTGCTGTTCTTTGAAATTTTCGTGAAATGTGGGTGCTGGTGGTGATTTTGTGAGAGTACAGAAATCTTTCAGAACGGGTAAGGCCGTAAAAGGATGGGAAGAAAGGGATTTCCTTTGTTGGAGAGCAAGAAGGATGGATTTCCTTCCTTTCCTGATTTAGGGTTTTCATGGAATCTTCAAGAGGATTTCTATCCTCTTGGGGGCTTGTTTGCGAGTGTGGGGCAGATGGGAGTTGGGTTTGGAATTTCACCTAGCCCTCCTAATTGTAGAGAAAATAGTGCGGCGGCATCAACGGATCTGTATTTGAAGTATGTATCTTCAGAGTTTATGCATCGGATTCCGTCAGAAGCTGTGGTTGCGGCTGCTGGTGTGATGGAGGAAGATGGTTTTAAGAAGGCGGAGAAGAGGTTTAGTGGAAAGTTGAAGATTAGGATTGGGAATCCGTCGTTTAGGAGATTGGTCAGTGGGGCTTTTGCTGGGGCTGTTTCAAGAACAGCAGTTGCTCCGCTGGAAACAATTCGAACGCATCTAATGGTGGGTAGCAGTGGGAATTCAACGGCTGAGGTTTTCGAGAATATTATGCAGAAAGATGGGTGGAAGGGGCTGTTTCGTGGCAACCTTGTTAACGTTATTCGAGTTGCTCCTAGTAAAGCCATTGAGGTAACTAACTATTTCCTGCTGTGATGACCTTTTTGTGCTATTTTTAATTGAACTTTATATGTTCATACGTGATTTTGTCTTGCTAGGTGTTAGTTTGTAAAGGTACTAAATTTTTATGATTGTTCCTTTGGTAATTTTCATGGCATCACTGCTTTCATGGCTTAAATTGCTAATCACTGTAAACATCGTTTCTTATCAGGGAAATGGATAAGGTGGGTTAGCTAAGTAAGCTGTATTCACCATTTATTTTTTCTGATATATGAAGATTAACTGGATGGTTGAAATGCCTGGCTGCCTGCTACATGTTGTGATTTCCATTCTTTGTGGACTTCTGACACTTTGTATTATGTTTGAATATAATTTAAAATGATACGTTTTGAAATGCTGTCCCTTTTTAAGTAGAATGTAACTTCACTCATACATTTTATTACCTTTAACCCCTAATCACATGGAAAATCCCTTGTATTTGGTTTTATGACCCTTCCTCATCACTAGATTTTGTTAAGAGCTATATTGCTTATATATCTTTCCCTGCATCCTTTCCAGATTTCTTGATAATATTGCCTTAGCTCTTCACAAATCTTAATTACTAACCTTGTATCATCTCAAGAGAATGGTGTTTATCTTTTCAACTAGTCTTCATCTCATAGATATGCTCGTCTATTATGTCATTTTATCATGTTTTATTAGGATTTTTAGAGGCTATCTAGTTAAAGGTTCAATAAGCTCGCCAATTCACCGTTCTGCATATAACTTGTTAGGTTTTTTTTTTCCCCTTGTTTTTTTTTTTTTTCATTTTTCTTTTGGTTTCTAAGATTACATAAAGGCATAATGTGAGAATAGGATTTTGTTTACTATGTTTTGTGAAAATAGAAACCTAGTCATCTATTTTTATGGAGTTACTGTCCAAGAAATTTTATTTTTATGTATTTTGAGTATATAATACAGTATAAACAGCAATAATTTAAATAGTGTAATAATATTTAAAGTAACTAGTAAAAAAGCATGTGTTCAAGGTATGCATGAATAATAATCTCTATAAATAAATAAATTTTAAAATCAGAAAATATAGCTCATATCATTTTAAAGAATATGGGAAATAATATAACATATGAGAAATCAAAGGCTGATATTTTGAGGGATGGCTATATATATATAATGTCATTACCTTTGAGCCAAGTTTGAAGCTAGGTTATCAAATATGAAACACCTTTCTAGTCAATAAAGAATTTTAGGTTAGTTGCTCAAATTTCTGTTCTAGCCACCTCAATAATAATGTATATAATACATAACATATACACTAGTTTAATGAAAAAAAGTAAAAAAAAATACACTAGTTTAATGAAAAGTTAATTTCAAATGGTAGTGTTTACAGGACTGTATGTCTGTATTTGATAATCAAAATGGGAAGATCGAAAGCTCAAAGCTCATCCCAACTGGACCGGGACTTTTTTTTTATGCCCTTTTATCCCTCTGGTTGTTTGTTTGCAAGAACTTATAAAGCTAATAGTTATGTTAGGGTTTAGAGAAATTGTGCATGTGACTTGTGCACAATAGATTTCGACCTCCTCTTCCGCGCTCTGATCATCTTTTTCCTCAATTTTTTCATGTCTTAATGCAAAATCTTCTCTATTCCCCATCTCTCCACCGACTTCTATTGTCTTGCCAACTCTTCCATGTATTGGAATCTCCCACAATAGTTCAAAAGAGTAACCTACATTAAGTGAAGCTCACCTCAAATTCTTGTAAGATACAACAATATGGTTTTTCTTTTGGATCATCCTTTATGTTGCTTAGATGGAAATTTCTTAGAACTCTATCTTTTGCTATAAATATAAGCTCTTCTCCAAGTTTCAAAACTCTTTTTGCTAGATTTGATTTTAACTTAGTAACTTCTAAAATTGAGTTAGTGAATTTTTTTTTAAATTTTTAATCATTTTTTTTAAAAGTAGAGTAGACTTAAAAAGACTTGGTTAGAAAGTATTACAAATGACATTTATTAGATTTAAATGATAATTTAACTCTAAATAGAACACAATGGAGAAAAAAAAAAGATTCTAGCTGATCTCACATGGTGAGATAAAGACTTGTTGTTGTTGTAATTGTTTTTAGTCTCATTTGATATTTGAAATATGTTCAAGATCATTGGAAGTTTCTTTTTCATTGATTTTTGGTGCATTCTTCATGAATTTTTCAGCTTACTTCAAATGAACAAGTCAACTTGAAATTAATACCAACTTTGATTCAAATTTGAGTTGGTCGAATTCAAAATTTTCATAGTTAATCAAGCTCGCTCAAACTCAAGTCATCATATGTTCTAATGCGGCAATTCGCTGAATGATTTGAACTCGAACTATATTGGAAGCAAAAAAATTCATTCACTCCACACCAGTAGAGACAGATTGATATGTAGGAATAGTATACTCATTGAAGTAAATTTGGTTAGCTTCAAAATTTGAATGATCTGCAATAGGCTCAAAATCAGGCCGAAAAACATATCAAGCCTAGAATGCGGCTCAAGACTCCACTTGAAATTTATCAATCCTGATTTCAATTGACTTAATACTTGCTACAAAATTTTAGACTCCCTGGCTTCCTCAGAACGGATTCATTGTGTCATTTTTGTTCCCTAAACTACTAACATACAATTATTAGTGTACATTTTTTTTTCTCTGTGGTTGCTTGAAATTCATTTTAAGTTACGGCCAGGTGCGGCAATGATGACTGCTGCTTCTTTTCAGTTATTTGCCTATGATACAGCAAAAAAGTTTTTAACGCACAAGTTTGGCGAGCCATTCAAGATTCCTGTCCCAGTTTCACTTATTGCTGGAGCCTGTGCTGGAATCAGTTCCACCCTCTTAACATATCCTCTTGAACTACTAAAGACCAGGCTTACCATAGAGGTATTACTTATCTATCTCACAGCAGTTCTTTCTAAGGCTTCGTTTGGGTCGGCTTTCTTCATGCTTTGTAAAGTGGCTTTAAATTTTTGTTCTATAAAGCCGCTTTACGAAGTAGTAAGAAAGCAGTTCCAAACAAAACCTAAGTAGCATCACGGCTCAGTCCAAGTCGCTTTAATTGCAGAGAGATGTATACGACAATCTCTTCCACGCATTCGTGAAAATCTTGCGAGATGAAGGGCCGTCGGAGCTCTATCGAGGCCTCACTCCAAGTTTGATCGGTGTAGTTCCATATGCTGCCACTAATTATTTTGCCTACGAGACATTGAAGAAGGCTTACAGGAAAACCTTTGATAAGGAGGATATTGGCAATATCCCAACTCTTCTAATTGGATCCGCAGCAGCTGCAATTTCCTGTAGTGCTACTTTTCCATTGGAGGTTGCACGCAAGCAAATGCAGGTTGGAGCTGTCAATGGCAGAAAAGTCTACAGGAACATGCTTCATGCTATTCTTACCATATTGGAGAAGGAAGGAATTGGGGGATTGTATAAAGGGTTGGGGCCTAGTTGCATGAAGCTGGTGCCAGCCGCAGGCATCTCTTTTATGTGCTATGAGGCGTGCAAGAAGATACTGATTGACAAAGAAGATGATTGAGGTACAGCAGAGTTCTGAATTAGTTAACTGACCTTTTATTTCTTTTATATTTTGTCATGAATCTTGCCTCGGCTATGGCTTCATATTTTTTGCTTATTTATTTGTGCACTTATACCTTATATCAATTGACAGTAATTGGTGTTTCAAATAATAGGAGACCAGTTTTTTAACGTGAAAGCCAATGCAAACTAATAAAGGTCAAGAGAATTTTTTTCCCTTTACGAGTTGGAAATATAATTGGCAGGTACTTGTTTTTTTCCTTGATGTTAGATGCTGCAGAAGATAGTGTGAGCGGGGGAAATGTCATTTATGAATTAAAAATTGACTTGTTAGCAGGCTTGTCATATTGATCAAAACAAAAAATCAATCCAATTTATGGAGATATTATTACGTGCGGTGTTCGGACCGTCTGGAGGTGAATCTAGATGAGCCACGTCACCCGGATGCACTGGGCCCCAGGTGATTTGGCGCGTCTGGATTTGCTTCCGGATAAATCCGGACGCGGCCCCCGAATAATTTTCCCAATTTATGAGCAATGCTCAATCTTTAGTGTCACATTCATAGCATTAACGTCAGTTTTGGCATCAGATTTTGGGTTAAAATCCACCGAGGCTTAGGGTGGTTGGTGGGTCAGCACGGTTGGTAACTCTCCATCCCAGGTTCGAATCCCCTCTACTAGGGCCTCACCTCTTCAATGAGGCAAAATAAGTATAAGCCCGATGCGGGTAGGTGGCCTCGCTAGATTCCGTCGATAGATTAGTTACGCTATCAAGCACTTCCTTTGAAGTGTCAGCGGATAGATACCCGTTCCCAAAAAAAAAAAACATTGGATACCGGTATTCATTCGACTGCAGCATTTCAATACCCCAAAAAAAATATCTGGCAAAACAAACTTCAACAAAGATATATCATATACGGCTCCAAGCCAAATTAATAAGCATTTGAATTATAGGTGCGCAAATCGGAGCATCATTACTGTTCAGATCTCACAATAAAATAACACCGTAAATGTGTGCATACAAATAAAAAGATGAAAAATGAACAGTAGTTATATAATCATTTAGTTCTGTTCATCCCCTTGAGCACCACCGCTCGCTTCTGCAGCAGCAGCGGCCATCAACTCATCGAACTCTTCAGTCTTGCCCAGTAATATTGAAATCTGATAAAACAAAACTGAATGAATATATAGAGGGGTTTGGAGGAGTAAATTAGTATTGCAATTAAAGCTAACCTTTGCTTTCTGCAATGGTCGGACCCTGTAGTCATCTTTGATATCCACAGTAGATGTCAAGATCTCTGCACAACATATGGGAGATTTAAGCAACTAAAAAAACTGGATTAGAGGATTAGGTGAGAGTAAGAAATCTCACGCTTCACAGTAGCAAATCCACTGTTCTTCAGAATCTCCGCAACGGAAACAGTAGTTGCAATGGCTGCAAAAAGATTCGTAAGTCATTGCCTATATTCTACGAAAAGACGATTATATACTGTGATTAATCATTTCTGCATTTAAGAATAGCCAAAAAAAACAAGGCAAGAGGTTAAAAGAAAATGATAAAATTCATCATAACTGTCCTTAGAATCAGACCATGTTGGCTTTAATTTCCTGGTTTTGAAGGTCATGATACAGCACTAGCCCAATATGCGGCGAAAAATTATTCTGTGCGGAGTTCGGACGTTGTCTAAAGATTAATAAAAATACGCCATGATATCTCAAAAGTGTACCGCGTTCGGTACCGAGCGCTGGTATTGCTCGGTATTGCACTCGGTACCAAATAGCATCGGACGTTTCTCTCGTTCGGTATCCGCACGGAATAATCCCTCATATGTGGCACCTATGACAACCTACTTGAGCGTGTTGTTTGTTGCTTTTGCATATGACTTTTATATTGGTTGTAGCATTTATAGCAGATTTGGTTGATGCTCGGGAAGGTTCAAAAAAAAAAAAAAAAATTGAATTATTTAAGCAGACCATATTAAGTATCTAGCAGAAATCCAAAATTAACTTAGAGATAACATTACACCAAAAATATCAAACATAGAAGTGATATATCATCAAAAAATTATCCTGCTCGGCCACGAATCTCAGGCAAAATTAAGTTGAAAAGTTTTAAAATTAAATTTGGGACCATCCGAACTATGATTTCAACAAACTTACAGTTAAATTGAATGACTCAGAAAGACGACCACAACGACATCAAATTCAATCACATATGAGCCCAAATGGGTCCAAATTAAAGACCCGAAATGCCTTTGGAAGGTTCAAACCATAATTTGAATTACCAAACGTGACATGGTTATAGTCGAATCGAGCAGCTCGATGAGACGAATCCAAAGAGCCCAAGATAGTTGAATTTTGATATCATTAAGACATTAAAATACCAAATAAATGGTCTACGATCAAGGAATTCAACAACGACCATCTATTCAAACACTAGTGGAATCATTTCAACTGGACGTTGCTCTATGATTTTTCCTCTTTCCGTGGTTTTCCATATAAAAATTCTAATATTTATTTTTCTTTTGTTTATATGCTGGATATCCATACAATGATGAGACAAAAATTTCTAACTCTATCACCGCATATATTCTAGCCCGCAACAAGAAGTAATAGAACGAATGCATAAATCACTTTCAGAGCAAGCAAGGGAGCTAGAGCCCTTACCCATTCGGTTTTGAAGGTCATGATACAGCACTAGCCCAATATGCGGCGAAAAATTATTCTGTGCGGAGTTCGGACGTTGTCTAAAGATTAATAAAAATACGCCATGATATCTCAAAAGTGTACCACGTTCGGTACCGAGCGCTGGTATTGCTCGGTATTGCACTCGGTACCAAATAGTATCGGACGGTTCTCTCGTCCGGTATCCGCATGGAATAATCCCTCAAGTGCAGCATATTGTTATGACTTTTATATTGGTTGTAGCATTTATAGCAGATTTGGTTGATGCTTGGGAAGGTTCAAAAAAAAAAAAAAAATTTTGAATTATTTTACCAAACCATATTACGTGCAAGTATGTCGCAGAAATCCAAAATTAACTTAGAGATGACATTACACCCAAAATAGAAAACATAGAAGTGAAGTATCATCAAAAAATTATCTTGATCGGGCACGAATCTCAAGATAAAATCAAGTTGAGAACTTCTAAAATTAAATATGGGACCATCCAAACTACGATTTCTGAAAACTTACAGTTGAAATGAACGACTCAGAAAGAAGAACCCAATGACACCAAATTTAACCCGATCCGAGCCCAAATGGGTCGAAATCAAAGACCTGAAGCACCTTTGGAAGGTTCAAACTATAATTTGAATTACGAAATGTGGCATGCTTATAATTGAATCGAGCAGCTCGACGAGGCGAATCCAACTAGCCCAAGATTGCTGAATTTTGATATCATTAAGACATTAAAATACTAAATAAATGGTCCACAATCAAGGGATTCAACAACGGCCGTCCATTCAAACATTAGTATAATCATTTCAAATGGATGTGACCCTGTGATTTTTCCTTTTTCCATGGTTTACCACATAAAAATTCTGATATTTTATCTTTCTTTTGTTTGTATGCTGGATATCCATGCAACACTGAGACGAAAAATCTTAATTCTATCGCCACGTATATTCTAGCCCACAACAATAAGCAATAGAACGAATGCATAAATCACTTTCAGAGCAAGCAAAGGGAGCTAGAGCCCTTACCCATTCCAAGAGCAGAAAGCTCGATTTCATTGTGCACTTGCATGTGCCTCTGCAAAAAAAGAAACATCATCAGCAATAGTTTCATATTAGCATTTGGTGCTACATCATAATCATTAAAAAAAAAAAAAAGAAACAAAATTACATAACCCGATTATAGAAACATCTTCATGACTTAATGTTCGTACAACAAAAGATCTAAACAGCAAAATAATTTATCAAAATTTCTTTACTCCAGATTTCCAAAATTTGCAAAATCCCCTTTAAACCCTATTAGGTGCTCCATTCACGCAACATTCTCCATTAAGATTCATCAAACCTTCTCCACAAAAAATGGGGACTCGCAACACTATAGAAACTACCCCGCCATCAATGGATGCGGAATCATGCAAGAACGAGTTGCTGGTGATTAAGCCGTCGTACCTTGGCGAGATTAACGTAGAAGAAGAGTGGCTTCTTCGTATTCGAAACCTGAATGCGATACTTCTTACGCGGATTGTTTATGCTAAGGCCATTCACAGCGTTGGTAACCCCTTCCATTTTCCCGTAAACCCTAAACGGGAGGAGGAAACCCTGAAACCTTAAATAGCAGAATCAACGAAGAGAGAGAACTCCCAAACGACAACCTTAGTCCTAACCGATTAATCGAGAAGAAGGGAATTCCACTATAATTTATGCTAAATTTGAGGGGGAACAAAGCGATATGACTATTTATAGCCGAACAGTTAAGAAACCAGCCTTTGTTCAATTCTTTTATGCAAAATTAAAACCGACAATTCTCTCTCTCTCTCTCTCTCTATTTCTCTCTTTTCAGGTGGAATGATAAAAAGATATTTTAACACGTAGAGTTGTTAGGCTATTTAATTAATTATTATTTAAAATATTTAACTATTTAAATATGATTTTATTAAAATTTTTATTGTTAACAGACTATTCATTATCTAATAATAATTGTTAAATATTAAATTATCACCCATTTATTTAAATATTTTTGGACTACTAATGATCTAATTAATTATAGTGAAGGGTACTTTTTTGATTTTCCTCACTCTTTTTGCGCAATAGAAATGTTGCTGCCGCGCACTCATGACTTAGTATGAGAGATCTCCTCTAAAGGATTTGACTGAAGCTAAAATTTGAAGCCAAAAGAGGTTTAAAGTTGATTTTTTAGTAGCTTAATAGAGCAACAAGCTCACCAATGAGAAAATCTATTTTAATTTTTGTAATTCTTCCTTTTAAAATTATTTATTAATCCAAAGAAACCACCAACATTTTTTTTTTACACATGAAAAGCATCAATAATTCGTTTTCTCTTTACTCCTCTCTCGCGAGTCACAAGTCACAACCTGTAGCACGAATTTAGTTTTCTCTTTAGCTCATCTTTCACCCTCAAATGAAGACCACCCTTGGAAGATATTTATGTCTTTTAAGCTCTAAGGGTCATATTATTTGTATTCTTAATTTTAATCTTACAGCTACTCTTGGCTCCGGTAATGAGACGAAAAACGGAACTATTTTAATATATTCTAATCTTCTAAATGAGACGTCAAATATAACTATTTTTATTTAGATACTCCCCCCCGAACAAAATTTTTGGCTCCGCCACTATCACCTACCAATAACAACAACCGGAACTACTAAATTTCTCAAAAAAATAAAAATGGTGCAATCAACTTTTATTTCATCAAAACATAATTACAATTATTCAAGTTATAGAAGTCTGTACATTAAATAATTAAATGTTGGATTACAAAATTATACCTTAAAAAATTCAAATCTCAAATTGTCTCTACACCTAATTTGCTCGATAAGATTTTTTTTCCTGAAACATTAAAAGAACATGGTAAGCCCAATAAGCTCACTAGTCAATAGACTCATTCACTCCACTTAGATATCAAAACTTAGTTTACTAAAACATGGCTTAGAATATTTCTTAACCTTATTTTAAAAATATTAACATATAAAATGTCATAATTAGAATGTCAATGTCCTTATGTCTGTTTATATCTCTACTTCCTCTTAGACCTCCTTTTACCTCCCACATTTGCGTCAAGCAGATGGGGCCAGAATAGTATGATGCGGAGCATGTTTACACCCAGGTCCTACCGGACAACTTATTTTTTATAACAGACTATAGCATTTGCCACTACCTAATTTCTATTTTCTTCAGCATATATATAGTACTAATATTACCTTTTAGTTTGTTACACCCTTTTTAGTACAGCTCAAGGAGCTACATAGAGGAGAGGAAAAGCAATTGTAGACAGAAAATTTTACAACTAGAAAATATACACAGCAACTTGGCTGTCTCCCCCCCCCTTCCTTCTCTTCCTCTGTTTTCTTCTTGTTTCTTCCGCTAACATCCTTTGCAGGTCATTCGCCGCCGGCCTTCGTCACATCCGCTCCAGTCGACGATCTACGCTGCATCAGATTTTGGTATCAGAGCCAGCGAATGGTAGAGGAGAATGTCCGATTGCGGCAAGGATCACGTCTCTGAGGAGACCCGGAACTTAGATGCATTGTGGGCGAGCCAAGATAGCATCAGTCACCGTTTGGATGCTTTGGCTGCTGATGTCCAACGATTGACAGTAGAAATGCGCCGTGAGTTTAATCTCAATAGGGAGAAGCAGCACGAACTACCCCCACGCCGGACAATGCCGCACAGAGGCTTGACCACCGACCACCAATTCGGACTGTTACCTACACCACAGCCCGAGGTGTCAGACTACGAAAGTGAGTCGGTGCTCTATCCTGGAGCAGAACCCGTGGAATCTGAAGAAGACGATGAAGCTCATCCCTATCGTCCTAAGTTCGCGAGACGCCGATGACCAATAGTTCACAATCAGCGATCGGGAGAGTTCAAGATCAAAATTGATGTTCCCTTCTTTGATGGACACCTACATATTAAGGATTATTTAGATTGTGAGAAGGCAGTAGAAAATTTTTTTGATTATATGGAGATCGAACCCGACAAGCAGGTGAAGTACGTGGCCTGTCCGCTGCGAGGGGGTGCTAGTGCCTGGTGGGTGCAAACCTTACAGATCAGACAACGGGAAGGTAAAGCTAGGCCGGGTTCGTGGATGGCACTGCATGAAACAGTTACTCCGAGCTCAATTCCTACCTACAGATTTTGAGCAAATCTTGTACATGAGGTATCAACATTGTGCACAAGGAAACCGTTCTGTAAGCGAGTACACAGAGGAGTTCAATGTGTTGAGTGCCCGAAACAACTTAAATGAATCCACCACTCAGTTGGTGGCAAGATACATAGGCGGCCTCAAGGACAGCATCCAAGATAAATTGGAATTAAATGATGTATGGTCCTTACCACAAGCTGTCAATCTAGCTTTTAAGGTCGAAATGCAGCAGAATAGACAATCAAAATCTATTACACTCCGTCGTGAGTGGAAAGAATCTGCTAGCGGAACGAGTAAATTACCATCTCATTCTGTAAAGACAGGCCAACCTCCTCTTCTACCGACGCCAACGGCAATTCCCGCAAACACGACCACTGATCCCAGACTGCCCGCGAAACCAAGACCTCAAGGTAAGGATAATCCTTATGCTAAACCTTCAACACTAAAATGTTTTCGTTGCTTTCAGCCTGGACATAAGTCCAACGAATGCCCACAGCATCAACAAGCACACCTTGCGGAAGGATCAAATAGGGATGAACACGAGAATGTGGAAGAAGATGAGATAGATGATGTGGTCGCTGATGAAGGAGAGCCATTAATATGCATTCTCGAAAAACTTTTACTAGCCCCAAGGCAGAACATCAATTCCCAACGGCATGCTCTTTTTCGGACGCGTTGCACCATTAGGGGCAAAGTGTGTGACCTTCTCATTGACAGTTGATGCACTGAAAATGTGATTTCCAGGGCAGTGGTACAAAACCTCCAGCTGAAAACTACCAAGAATTCAAACCCCTATAGAATAACGTGGGTAAAGAAAGGCATGGAAATTGCGGTCACTGAATTATGCAAAGTGGTGTTCTCTATTGGCAAACAGTACGTTTGCAAAGTCGTCTACGACGTTCTGGATATGGACGTCTGTCACTTGATATTAGGCCGGCCATGGCAATTCGATGTGGACGCCATCTACGATTGCCGAGACAACATCTATTCCCTGGATTATAAAGGGAGGTGGTTAAGGTTGTTGCCACATTCTGCCGAAGACAAAACTTCACGGCCAGCGCAAGCCAAACAGGCCGCTATGCATTTGGTCACGGGCCACTATATGCCCTTCTCGTAACCAAAGTGGCATCCGGCATCGCAACTGCTAACACACACAAGGATATCTCTCAGCTCTTACAATGTTATGAAGAGATTACTCTGGATGAACTTCCGCCCCTACACGAAATTCAGCACTGTGTCGACTTCATTCCCGGATCCAGCCTTCCTAACTTACCGCACTACCGCTTGAATCCGAAGGAGCAGCAGATACTTCAGGGCTTAGTCGATGATTTGGTCAAGAAACAACTGATACAACCTAGTATGAGTCCTAGTGCCGTGCCAGCACTGCTCGTCCCAAAGAAAGACGGGAGTTGGCGGATGTGTGTAGACAACAGGGCCATCAATAAAATAACGGTCAAATACAGATTTCCCGTTCCCCAGATTGACGAGTTAATAGATCAACTCTCAGGATCTTCCATTTTCTCAAAATCGGACCTCAGGAGTGGCTATCACCAAATTCGCATTCGTCCCGGAGACGAATGGAAAATGGCCTTCAAGATGCCGCAAGGGTTATATGAGTGGAAGGTCAAGCCCTTCGGCCTATGTAATGCTTCATCGACCTTCATGAGGATGATGAATGAAATTTTGAAACCGTTTTGGGCAAATTCTGCATTGTGTACTTAGCACCTCATGGCAGTCTCACTTGAAGCATTTAACAGTGCTCTTTGATGTGCTCAAGTAGCAACGGTTATTTATCAACCTCCCCAAGTGCGAATTGGGCGTATCGCAGGTCTACTTCCTTGGATTTGTCCTCTCGGCCGACGGTATTCGAATGGACAAGTACAAAATATTAGCCATAACTGACTGGCCAATACCACAGACCTTCTCCGACATTCGCAATTTTCACGATTTGGCGAATTTCTACCGAAAATTTATCAAAAACTTCAGTCTGATAATGGCACCTATTACAGATGGCCTCAAATCCAAAGTCTTCCTGTGGACCGACGAACAACAGCAAGCATTTGAAAGAATAAAAACCTGTATCAGCTCAGCCCCTATTTTGGCGCTTCCGGACTTTCACAAGTTATTTACGGTGGATACTGACGCCCAGCCATTGGAGTGGGCGATGTTCTATCACAGGTCGAGAGGCCTGTAGCATTCTTCAGCGAGAAATTATCTCCAACACGACAGAAGTGGGCAGCCTACGAGCAGGAGCTATATGCCATTGTTCGTGCCTTGAAACAATGGGAGCAATACTTGCTCCACCAGGACTTCATCCTCTGTAGCGACAACAAGGCTCTCTCTTATATCAACAGCCAAAAGAACATCAATCGTATGCATGCCCGCTGGCTAATGTTCTTACAACGGTTTTCCTTTTCAATAAGGCATAAACCCGGTGTTGTCAACAGAGTAGCCGATGCATTGAGCCGGAAGCGCAGCTTGCTAGTCCAATTACAAACCCAGATCACCGGTCTAGAATGCTTAAAGGATCTCTATTAAGAAGACCCGGACTTCGGGGAAATCTGGAAACAGTGTCAAACTGATCAATGTGTTGATGAGTATTCGGTGCGCCATGGC